TGAAAATTTCGATCTTTTGTGAGGAAGATATCAGAAGGAGTTGACCGATATAGCCCATCTCCGAACTCGATCTAAGTTTGACAAAAATATTAAGATGTACCAAGATATCAGATACTCCCTTCAAGAGTTATCGTACGCACCAGCCAGCCAGACAGACGGACGGACGGACGAACATCGCTAGACCGACTCCAAATGTCCTGAAACGGATTTGGTCCAAAGATACCTAGGGTCTAAAACCGTTATTTCGTTATTTAAAATTATAGCGTTTGACTTTATTGCAGTTTTTTTATCTCACCCTGTACATGTCCGTCCATAACATGGCCTAAATAACGACCATATAATTTACTCTACATAAGTTCTCAATATAAATGTGTACTTATCTGTTCTACAATACAGTATTTTTTGCTTACCTGCACAATCAAAAATTGCACGACATCTTGTGCAGCAATGCCCAAAATGCAGGTAGCTTCATTGCATTTATCTGCACAATGAAGCAGGTATCTTTAATTTTACTTACGTGCACAAAAAGTGCAGTTATCTTTAATTTTCTATTCGTGCACAACAAAGCAGCAGCATAACTATCTTTTAGTGTGGGAGAGGAAGCGAGAATATGTTTTTAATGCATGCTCTTTTCTTGTGTTGTTATTGTTTTTGCGAATACAAAAACAAAAACGAAGTGGTAGTTTTTAGTGTCTTTTTTGAGTTTGCAAAAAATTTTCTTGTGCAGATAAATACAACTTTTGTAACCAAATTAAAAAAAAAAATACCAAATTTTCGAGGCAGGAATGTCCAATGTGCAGCTATCGATTGGGTACTTAAATACAATTCAAATAAAGGGATTCAGAAAAAAATGGCATAAAAAAAGTTTTTTAGTCTGCAAAGGCCAATGCGCAGCTAATGTTGATGCAGGTAAATAGAAACCACTGTACATGCATAGTGTTTTGAGTATCGACCAGCCCGACTTTTGACCTTTCTTTACGTTTTTTGGACGTACATATGTAGGGTAAAAATTATTCGTTTAAAATTTAATCCACACTTATTAATTGTTTGGCAAGTACGCTAATTCATTCGATGCCAGCCAACCAACAACACTTGAAAATACTTAAGCTTCGTTTATGAAACTTCTTGGAAATCCTATAGCTAGACTGTAATTGAATCCCCCTTCCATCACATAAGCATTTCATATTCGCTTCGAAGATGCTGGGCATCAAAGCAATTTAAAGAAAACACAACAAATCGATTTTGTTTATTCAGAATGCTGATGAATGCAATTAAGAAAACTAAATATTTTTGTATCCGTTTTCTACATTTAAATATTTTGTGTGTTAGCTATCTGAGCCTCACTTTTCAGTTCTTGGCAGAAAAATGTCTAGATTCTGTGAGAGTAAAGAATACCAAGACAAATTTGTTTTGATGGCTTAAATGCAAAACAAAAAATCAAATGCTATCCAAGAAAAATTAACATGAAAATTCCGTGGTAATTTAACGAACATAAGATAGTGCGCATTAGTGGAGTTTTCGTTTTAAAGGAGTCGCGGCAATAAAAAACCTAAGTGCATTTGTCAAATGTACATACATAATTAGTTCCAAAGATAAAAATCCGATACACTTCTTATCGACGAAAACGAACATTTAAATTGACTGTTGTGTTAACAACCAAAACTGTTGAGTGGAATAGATTTATTTATCATTTTTATGGGAAATATCTATCAATCAACACCATCAAAACCATTGTTGATATCATAAGTCGAAAATAAATTCAAAAGTGTTCATCGAAACCCGAAATTATTCAAATCTTCTCCTCCTGAAATAAAGTCGTTATACCGGTGTGGCGACGATACACATACTCCGAAAAACTAAATCGACACACGACACGGCTAGTAAATGCAAATGGGGAGACATGTGTAAGCAAAGCAATTTGTGTGTATGTCGCATAATACAAACAGCACAGTGAGTTGGAATCTGTATTTTTGAACCAGTTATAAAAATGGAAGCAGTAAGGAAAATTCATAAGTCGGCAGAATAAACCCAAAATCGGATTAAGGATATATATGGGAACTATACCCAAATCTTAGCCGTTCTCTATAAATTTTGGCAAATATATTTCCGAGCTCTATAAGATATCTGGTACCAAATATAATTGTTGTCGAATGCACATTACTAATGTGGGTGCTGTAGCTATATCTGAACCGATTTCCACCAAATTAAATGTACCTGCTTCTAGACTGAATTCGGTTGGATGTGCCAAAATTCAAGTCATTTGGACTGATATTGCCCAACGGCTTGAAGATATATTTGGTAGCTATATCCAAATTTGAATCGATCTTGATACAAATTGCCAGATGTATTTTTGGGCTGTATCTGATATTTGATACCTAGTTTGGTCGGATATACCAAAATTCAGGACTTTTTGACAGATATTGGTTATTTGGTGCACAATTAACCTGAAATCGGTTGAACATGTATATGGGAGCTATATCCAACTCTGAACCGATCTTGATAGAGAGGTATTTCCGAGCTCTATAAGATATCTGGTACCAAATATCATTGTTGTCGAATGCTTATTACTAATGTGGGTGCTATAGCTATATCTGAACCGATTTCCACCAAATTAAATGTACCTGCTTCTAGACTGAATTCGGTCGGATGTGCCAAAATTCAGGTCATTCGGACTGATATTGCCTAACGGCTTGAAGATATATTTGGAAGCTATATCCAAATTTGAATCGATCTTGATACAAATTGCCAGAGGTATTTCTGGGCTGTATCTGATATTTGATACCTAGTTTGGTCGGATATACCAAAATTCAGGACTTTTTGACAGATATTGGTCATTTGGTGCACAATTAATCCGAAATCGGTTGAACGTGTATATGGGAGCTATATCCAACTCTGAACCGATCTTGATAAAATTTGACAGAGGTATTTCCGAGCTCTATAAGGTATCTGGTACCAAATATCATTGTTATCGAATGTATATTACGAATGTGAGAGGACTTAAAGACCAAATCGGATGAAACATATATATGGGAGCTATGGCTATATCTGAACCGATTTCCACCAAATTAAATGTACCTGGTTCTAGACTAAATTCGGTCGGATGTGCCAAAATTCAGGTCATTTGGACTGATATTAAGCCGAAATCGGTTGAAGTGGTATATATGGCAGCTATATCCAAATCTGAACCGATCTGGATACAATTTGGCAGAGGTATATTCTGGGCTCTATCTGACATATGGTACCTAGTTCGGTCGAATGTACCAAAATTCAGGACTTTTTGACCGATATTGGCCATTTGGTGCACAATTAACCCGAAATCGGTTTAAGACATACAGGGTTGCCCATATTCGACGGACCCATGACTCTTTGGGCCCAGTCCAATCGACGAGGCTTGTCCGCAGGCAACATTCTTTGCGTCAATTGAATTTTGTACGGGAACAAATGCAAATCTTGGGGACCTCTCAACACTGGCTCGTACGGCAGCGATATTCTCGGCCCATCGCCTTGGTCGACTTTTATATGGCCTCTTCGGATTAGAAAGAGCCTTACCAGTCGAAAATGGTGTTCTTAGAAGGCGCACTTCTCACATTTTTTAATGTTTTAAAAGCACGTTGAGTTTTCACAATTGACTTCTTCTGTTGAATGTAAATTTCAACTATTTCAGAGCGCTTGCGTGGCGTGTATTGGTTCATGGTAAAAATCTGCTTGGACTGACGCTTTAAACGCGGTATGTCATTAAGCGATGTGACATCTCTGTCAAAAATTATGGCGTTGCCAGATGGGTCCGTCGAATATGGGCAACTCTGTATATAGAAGCTATATCCAAATCCGAGCCGATCTTGGGAGGTACCGATATTCGGTATTTTGATGATTTTCGCCACATTTTTCCACGGATTTGTCTAAAAATTGGTATGTTAGGTCATAATGGGTTCTAGTTGCGGTGGCGGAACATTGTCTGTATAGGTACATATTTTCGTATAGCCCCATGTAACGGTACCTCCCGATATTGAGTATTTTCATTATTTTTGCATTTTTTTTGCACGGATTTCTCTAAAAATTGGTAATAATCATAATGGGTTCTAGCTGTAGCGCAACATTGTATGTATAGGTCCACGTTTTGTATAGCCACACATAATGGTACCTCCCGATATTCAGTATTTTTGATAACTTTTGCCGCATTTTTCCACGGATTTCTTTCAAAATTGGTATATGTTGGTCATAATAGGTTCTAGTTCCAGTGGCGAAACATTGAATATATCGGTCCATGTTTTCCTATATCCGCCCATATAATGGCACCCACATTTACCCACGAAATTGTTTCAAATTCGGTATTTAAGAAGATTTGGTAGATGACAATCCTTGAAGTATGAAATTGTCTATAGAGGTTCCCGTTTTGGTATGGCCCCCATACAACGGCCTCACCCACTTTATGGTTTTATGAAACACGTTTGAATTCAGATACTTTTATATAAAAATGTTCTCTTTACCCAAAGGCCTGGCCGAGCTTTTACTTGTTTGTTGATAACTAGAATTATGTAGGCTATTATATATCTGGTCTTGCCCGCCGCTGATATTTTGCTTGAATACTGCACGAATCTTCGATTTTCTCTTATTTCCGCACACTGTGATCCACAAAAACTAAGAGAGAGAGAGAGAGAGAGAGAGAGAGGGTAAACAAGGAGACCCTGTTGTAGCCGGTTTTTTTTCGTTCATATGACAGCAAAAGCAAAAAAAAATACATCATACAACTGAAAAGATGTGCCTTAAGAACATGTCCGTCTGTCTGACTTAACACAAGTCCAGCAAGGGAAAGGAACGAGCGAACGTCGTGCCGACTTAATCGCTAACTTGTTTTTTTTGTTTATTTTGTCTCCATTTAACAACAAATTCTCATTCTCTGAGAATGGCCATTTACTAACTGTCGTTTAATGAAATAAAAAGCCAAGAAAATGTGAGAGTAAATGGAAAGACAAAACCAAAAACAAACAAACAAAAATAATAAAACCAAAAACACTTGTTAGTCAAACACTGTCGCTGTAGTGTGGTACTACGACCACGATTGGTTCGGGTCGTATAGCTGAGAATATTTTTTTGAGGTGGTTTTTAGTTGACATTCATTAGCGGTAACGAAAGCAGTGCAACAAATGATTTGCTTATAAAAATTGGCCAACAAAAATAAACGCGAAATAAAAACAACAAAACATAAATCATTTTCAATACCAAAAAAAAAAGTGAAATACAAAACAAAGTCTAAATTAAAAGAAAAAAATCAAGATTTATTGCAAATTTGCATTGACAACGACTACGACGATCTCCATAAGAAAAAATACAGAAAATAAGAGAAAAAAAAACAAACGAAGCCAATAAAATTGTATGAAATCATCGGAGAAAAAAAAAATTAAAACAAAAATAGCTCCCCCCAATAAATTTTTGTGATAAATATTTTTAATTGTTATCAAACAAGAAATTCAAAAAAAGGGAAAAATCTTAAAAAAAATCCGAAATTCTTAATGTATAGCGGCGGCGTGTCTGTAATTAAAAACACAGCAATTCATTCAACCCCAGATGTGTATGCATAATCCATATGTTCGTTATAAGAGAACATTTTGGTTTTTATGTAATTTTCTTTGGTTGAAATATCAAAACGCTTTCGGTTAGAAAAAAAGACATCATCACCCAAAAACAGCAGCAGCAGAAGCAAAAGCAGCGACATTAACGCCAATACCATTTTTGTTTTCAAAAATAAAACAATTTTGTTTTTCGCCGTTGTGAAACACCCCCACAGTTCCACCGATTTTGGTTTTTTGTGCACATCATAGGTGGCCAGCAAACATCAAAGGTTCGTACCACACCGCACTACACTCAATTACAATTTTACACAATTTCGTTTAACAGAAGGTTCTTCTCCTCCATTTAAAAAAAAATTACCGACTTTTGTCATAAAACAAACTAATTAAGAAACAACAACAACCACAACAATAACAATAACATCCATTATTGCGTTCATTATCAAGGTCGTACGTCGTCTATAAATCCACTGAATAAGCAATGAGGCAGAACTGTTTTAACATTTTTTTTGGGGCGAATAAACAGAAATTGTGATGCATGGGTTAAAAGATTAGAGCGTATCTTATTGAGGGGAAAACTCTACTAGTATGTACATACAAACATTCATGATCACCGTTAGCTGCAATTTGACATTTCGGATTAGAACCGATTTCTCCCCACAAAAAAAGTTTCAAAGTGTAACGTGCTATAGCGCCCATATTAAAACACCTCACTGATTTTTACACCCTACACCACATAGTGGTAAGGGTCTTATGACTTTGTGCATTTGTTTGTAGCATGGCGAAAGAAGCGAGATAGGCCCATAGTTACTTTTGAGGATCTTCATAGAATCACTTTTTGAGTAGATTTATGCATGTCAGTCCGTCGGTCCATGATTTCTTGTGAACTAAATGCATGTCGCATTTATTATCCGATTGAGATAACATTTTTTGTTGGCCCAAGGACGAAACCTATTGAAATTGGTGAGAATCGGATCAGATTTAGATATAGCTCCTATATATATATATTTAACCGATTTCGGGTTAATTGTGCACCAAATGACCAATATCAGTCCAAATTACCTGAATTTTGGCACATCCGACCGAATTCAGTCTTGAAGCAAGTACATTAAATTTGGTGAAAATCGGTTCAGATATAGCTATAGCTCCCATATATATGTTTCATCCGATTTGAGGTTTTAGTCCCTTACATGCGTATTATGCACTCCACAAGAATGACATTTGGTATCAGATACAGCCCAGAAATATCTCTGCCAAATTTTATTAAGATCGGTTCAGATTTGGATATAGCTTCCATATATATCTTCAACCGATTTCGGGTTAATTGTGCACCAAATGACCAATATCAGTCCAAATGACCTGAATTTTGGCACATCCGACCGAGTTCCGTCTAGAAGCAATTATATCGAGTCCGGAGAAAATCGGCTATAGGTGCCATATATATCTCCAACCGATTTCGGGTTAATATCTGTCAAAAATTTGTACATTTTTATACATCCGACCTAATTCTGTCTAGAAGCAACTACATCAAATTTGGAGAAAATCGTCCCAGATAAAGCTATAGCTTCCATATGTATGTTTCATCCGATTTGGTGTTTTAGTACTTTACATGCGTAATATGCTTTCGACAACAATGATATTTGGTATCTTATAGAGCTCGGAAATACATTTGCAATAAAGAGGGGATTTTGGAAATTTGTGCTACAACTGCACCAGATGTACTAACTATTACTATTTTTGCTACAATTTGGTATTGGGTGAACAGATTGTGCTTGAAATCTGAAATTTGATATTGGGGCCACAATGGTTTGGAAATGTGTCCTATATTTGTATGGAAAGTACTAAATGGTACTAAATTTGGTATTGGGTGAAGGGGTAGAGATTTGGAGGTGGGTTTGGAAAGGCGTACTATAGTTGTTCGAAGAAGTACTAAATTGGCTATTGGCTGAAAGGATAGAGCTGGAATATGGAATGGTTTTGCAAATGAGTATCAAAATGTTATGAAATGCACTATATAGAGTATTGTGGGGTGAAGGGATAGATCTGGAATCCCAAAATTTGCTTGTTTGCGATCTGGGATTGAGATATGAAGGTGGTTTTAGAAATGCATTCTATAATTGTTCGAAAAATACTAATTAGAACTAAATTTGGTATTGGGTGAAGGGATAGTAATTTGTGGATCTAGATGTCGATTGTTTTGGATATGCATACTAAATGTTACTAAACTTGGTATTGGTTTGAAGAAATAGAGAAGATATTCTGAAATTTGATATTTAGGCCACTTTTGGTTTCTGTGGTATTTATCTGGAGATGTTGAAATAGTTTTGGACCGAAAAATTGGATGTGGGCCCATTGTACACTGGTTTTATTAATATTCTCCTCGATAAACTTCAAAATGAAATTTTTTAAGGATTTTTTTTTTGGTGTGAAAGGTAAACTTTTTCCTATTATTCTTTCCGAAAAAGGAAATTTTGTATACATTTTTTTCAAAAGAAACAAATTGTGCATTTTGAGTACTAAAAAGGCCTAACACGGACTGTTGGAACGAATCTAAATTTTTAAGGTGGACTTTTCGCTCACGAAGTAGCGGGCACATACTAGTATATATATATGTTCTTCAGAACTCCCATTAGCACGGCAGTGGCGGTAAATATTGGGACATTTCAAAGAAGATTTGCATGGTCTCGTGGGTCCGGCCAAAAACAAAATAGCGCTTTTGTACGACTGTATGGCACTAATTCAAAAACGAAATGGATCAAATACATACATATGCATACTAAGTAATGATTTTTTCCGAAAAATATTGCTATGAGGATTGGATATATAGACATTATTTATAACTCCTTACAATCGTCAATTAGAGAATGAACCTTTATATTTGAAATTATTTTTTAAGTAGTCCTATTATGTATCCCTATATCTTGAGGGATTCTTTCATCCAAGCCAAAAGGGTTTCAGATTTACTGCGCTTACTTGTTTAAACTATATTCGTATTAAGAAAAACTAAAACTTTCTCTATTTGGTCCTTGAAGGATTCTATACAACTTTATATTAAAATTAAAAATATCCATTTAAAATTAAATATTGTTATGTCCGTGCGAACACCCCGACTTTTAACTAGCTGTTTAATAAATCACTCTTAAATATTTCAAATGTACCGAAAGACCACGGAATTTGTTTATAATTAAATGACTAGATTTTAATTCACTTATTTCCTCAATAGCCCACCGTGAAGTGTCTGAATATTCCGTGAAGAATTTCAATGCATCTCTTTTTGTGAATTTGTTTTAGAAAAATGAACTCAGCTTGTTTTTGTAGTATTTGTATAATTACGTACCTACCTACTGACCACCGGCCACTAAACACTAAATAAAATTCCGTTTGTTTTTATTATTAAGACAACCTTGAGATTTTTAACGTTTGGTTTTTTTTTTATTTGCCATTTGACTTCATAAACAAATGAAATGTTTAGGGGATTTTTGGTTTATTTACTTTTTTGCAAAAAAAATACGTGATGCGAATGAAAGTGGATGCATGGAACAAGGACGGAAAAGGAAAGCATGATTCATATTTGCAAAGTGTTTTCGCATGCCGTTTTAATTATCCACAAATTTGTTATGGCTTACAGCACCATGTGGAGAGGCTGAACCATTCAGCCACTTTGAGATATACTGTAGCTATAGATCTCGTGGAGGGAGTTGAATAGGCATAGCAGGGCATTTAGAATAATGTAGAGTGGTTTACCGGCATGTTTCGCATGCAGTGCAGTCTTTCGGAACTTTGTTATCCAATTCAGATGAAATTTTCCAAACAATATTTGTTTGGCCCAAGGATGGACCCAATTGAAATTGGTGAGAACTGGTTTAAATTTAGATATAGCTCCCATATATATCTTCAACCGATTTCGGGCTAATTGTGCCCTAAATGGCCAATAGCAGTCCAAATGTCCTGAAATTTGGCACTTCAAACAGAATTCAGCATAGAAGCAAGAACATCAATTTGAAAATCGGTTCAGATATACCTATAGCTCCCATATATATGTTTCATCCGATTTGGTAGTCCCTCACATTCGTAATATGCACTCCACAAGAATGATATTTGGTACCTGATATCTTTTAGAGCTCGGAAACACCATTGTCAAATTTTATCGAGATCGGCTAAGATTTGGATACAGCTCCCATATATATCCTTTATCCGATTTCAGTTTTGTTGTGCAAATAATGGCTAATATCAACCCAAATGAACTGAATCTTGGCAATTCCGACTGAATTTATTATGGAAACAAGTACTTTAAATTTGGTGAAAATCGGTTCGGGTATAGCTATAGCTCTCGTATATGAGGGTTATACCAATACGTGAGGGCACATATTGATATTGAAAGTTTTGAAAGTGATATGGCAAGCAAATATAACTATTTTCAGATATTCTCTGCGTACTTAATATATTGTAATAATTTGTACGAAATTTTATTGAGCTTTGCCTTTTTGTCTAAAATTTCAGTAAATTAGAATAAATCGACTATTTTGTTCTGACATTTTGTAGAGACATATTTCAATTTCCCTATCAAATTGAGAGTTTATAATAAATGTTGTATTTTTACTTTTAAAAATTTTTTGATAAAATTAAAAAAGTAGCTTTTTTTAGGAAAAATTAATGAGGTATTAAATTTCAAAGACACCCATTTGAAATTTAAAAGCAATCACCATTAAAATCCATTTCGAATCACTGTTACATCGTTAAACGTCAATGAGATCATATCCATTTCCCTTTTCTATATACATTCGTATTTAACAAAATTCTAATTTCATTTGATATTTCATCTTTATTTTTTACTTAATTTTTTTTATTGTTTTTCCTTTTTAATTCAAAACATACGATTATCAATATCTGGCGCCTAAAGATCTATAGTGTGTACAGAATTGTTTTTCCTAAATCTTATCTCTCTCTCTCTTCCTCTCTCTCTCAATAGTAGCTCAAATCACATGCACACGTGAGAAAGAGTATTATCTTTCGTTTATAATGTTCTAGTATTAAAAATATAAATGAATGACTTGTATAGACAAAATAAATCTTTATTTACGGTATTCTTTTTTTTTTTTTTTTGTTAGTACATAGCCACAAAAGATAATTTTAATGTGGCTCTTGTGATTCAGAAACAAACAAAAAATCGGTAAGGAAAAGTCAAAAGTCGGGTGGGGCCGACTATATGATACCCTTCACCACTATGCATATTTAGTACAGCTCCCATAACAAAAGAATTTATTTGAATACCACCTACCAACACTTGGCTTTAGGACAGTTTCAGTTTGGTTTCAAAGGGAACTAATATATGGGAGGCATATCCAATTCGAATGTGATTTTTACTAAATTTGATTACCAAATAACATTGCTATAGAGTGCATGATATCACTTCTAGAAGGATTATATTAAAATCATATATATATATATATATATATATATATATATATATATATCGGAGTCGAGTTTCACGAAATGGAGCTATATCTAAATTTGAACCGATTCTCACCAATTTCGTCCTTGGGCCAAACAAATATTGTTTGGAAAATTTCATCTCAATCGGATAATAAATGCGATCTGCATTTTGTCCACGAGAATACATGGAGAGACGAACAGAAAGTGATTCTATGAAGATCCACAGGAGTAACTATGGGTCTATCTAGATTCCTTCTCCATGTTACAAACAAATGTTAAGGTATAAAAACATAACTACAGCGAGAGTAAAACATTATGGAATATCTTTTTTTCATATCTTTGTGAAAAAAAAAAACAATTTGCTTCCTGCATAGCCTATTATAAAAGGCGCTTTCCTTGTATACATTTATTTTTTAACTCACTGTATTTTTTCAACTCACTCAATGTATGACAAATAATCATTCGCACATATAGCAGCTATTTTAATCCATTTCGAAAAATTTATAAATATATATTTTTTGTACCGTCTTTTCCACCAAAGACATATGACAATATTTCTCTTTCAATTTTGCGCGCGTACAAACATGACCTTCATCAATTGGAATTTGAACTTGAATAAAGGGAAAGAACAATAATCTCTTCTGTTTGCAATATTTTTACTTTGCTACATTGTTATTTCACTTTCGGCTTAACATTTTTTTAAATGAATTTACACGTGTGGGTGAAAGAGAATGCGTGATGTTTTGTTTTCTTTTTCCTTCATAATTATGCTGATTAAAAAAAAATTGAAAAATTGATAAGATTACAGCCAATGGTATTTTGTATGATGATTTGCGATGGAATTGTTTTTCAAATTAGGTGATATTTTATTTTTAAATCACAGTGACACCTTCATTCATTAAAAACATTCTTGCAATAAAACTAATTGATTAAATTATTTCTTTGAATCTCAAGTGATTTTTAAAGTTTATATTAGTTGAGATTGTTTATTGAAAATAAACCGAAAAACTTGACCTCTAAATGGTAGCTCTAGTATAACATCATCCTATATTGACAGCCAAAACTATTTTGTTTTCTTTGTGCGAAGGGCCAGCTCTGTTCTAGACAGATTTGAAAATCAAATCTTTTTGTGCTCAACAGATGGTGTAAGAACGGGGGTCAACGGGGTCTACAAAATTTGTAGATCATGTGAAGTGTTGCAACATTAGAACCGATATGAATAAGCTGTGGGTAACGCGAACCTTGGAAAAAAGGATGACCTCAGTCACTTTTATTATTTGTGATCACTTTTTGAAGCATGAATTATCGGAAACTTTAAAATGGCCATAACTCCTTAAATATTGAGTTTTCGGCGTTTTTAGTTATTATTTGTGATCACTTTTTTAAGCATGAGTATTTTAACCGACAATTTGTCGAGCATCCCGAGAGAGACAGGGCGAAGCGAAAAGTACTACATCGTATCAAATATCTTCCCTCCGAGGAGGAACCATCACAATTTACGATGGGTGATGGGTTGCAAATATCATCCCGAACGCTAAGTCATCCAAAGCGTTGGACCCAGACGTAATGTCAATGGTAATGCTGAAACAGCTGGATACGCCGGGAGTCGAGTACCTAACAGAAGTTCTCAACCTATCGCTAGCCACCCACATAGTTCCCGAAGCCTGGAAAATGAGCCAGATGGTCCCGCTTTTAACCCAGGCAAGGATGCCAACAAAGGCGAATCGTACAGGCCGATTTCGCTTTTGTCGCCAGTAGCTAAGACTCTCGAAGATTTACTCCTCCCAAGCGTTAGAGGAAGCTTTCCAATTGCCAATCATCAGCACAACATAGCACCACAGCAGCATTACTCGCCATTTGCACACATATTATTAGAGGATTGAACCAGAACACACCGTGTAACAGAAAAGTGTCGGTAGCCCTTGACCTATCAAAGGCATTTGATACGGTCAATCATCCCATACTGTTTGAGGACGTGCAGAGAACTACCCTCCGGCCAATTTTGAAACGTTGGACCACGAACTACCCAAGATTCTAGGAGTCACAATCGACAGCATATTCAAGTCGTTCGTGCAAGCCAGAGTCATCCCAACCATCATATGGTGGATACAACTCCCCCAACCAGGCGTGTCATGAAGGACATACACGATCTACAGAGGGATGTCCAACGCTGTAAGAGAGAACCTCTAGATGATCAAGAAGCTTATCAGGCAGGTCTGAGTGGCATTCATACCGAACAATCGCCGATGCTATCAGCAATTACAGGATGAATGATGTCCTCGGAGTCCACCCCATCCATTGCAGCTGAAGAACGTCAGCTGCCTAGACAAACCAGGATAGTTTTTGGTGCAATTACGTTCAGGATGGTGAAGTCGTCTCAATTCGTTTGACGATGATGTGCGTGACGTTTGCCCGGCGCGTGATGCGAAATTAACATTAACACAAGATATGTTATAAAGATGGTAGAGATCGGACCATGCCTTCTGGTACCTCCCCCATAAAGGGTCAAAGTTTTGAATGACGAAAACGAACAAAAAATCCAAAATTAGCATCCGGTTCTCTTCAAATTACACACATCACAACATTTTTATTTGCCCAAGTTTTGGTGTGAAGATGGGATATATCGGTCCACTCCTTCTGGTACCTCCCCCACAAAGTTCAAAATTTTAAGTATCCATGAAGCTCATAAAACGCGAAATTAACATCCGATTCCATTCAGACTTGACACATCTCAGTATTTCCATCAACCCAAGAATAGTTATAAGGATGATAGAGATCGCACCATTTCTTCTGGTACCTCCCCCACATATGGTTTAAGATTTTGTAAAAAAAACGCTCATAGAAAGCGAACTAAGCAGCCAAATCCATCCATCTCCACACATTTCCCGCATACAACATTTTTGCTAACACAAGATATGTTGTGAAGATGATATTTTATTTTGTAATCCTTCTTGGGTGGCGCGTGCTGAGTGCGATGGTGCTGAGTCCTGTTGGAATGTCTAAGGTCTGCGGCCAAAATGTTTGCGTGCTCAAGGCTTTAATACACCCTCCAGAATTTTTTCGCGATAATATTCGACATTTATTCTGATGTCATGGTCGATTATTACGAGCGGAGAGCGACAATCGGCTGTTATGGCGGCACATATCATCACCATGGCCGGCGCTTGAGTTCTGGTGGCCAACCGAAGGTGCACATTTTCAGCTGACCTCTTTGGCAAGTAAACACGATCATTTTGTTTGTTTACAAACTGCTAGACAACGAATGTTTTCTCATCGGAGAAAACCAAATTCGATTCGGCAGTTCACCACTTTCGGCCAAGCGAACCAACTCTTTAGCTCTTTTGGGCCTATTTTCTTTCTGTTGCGGGGTAAGTTCTTGCACTTTTTGGAATTTCAATGGCTTTACCCCGAACTCGTTTTTCAAAATTTGCCGAATGGAATATTGTGATATGCTCAGCTCACGATATGCTCGGCCACTGCGACGCGGGTTTTGATCAAGTCGCTTCTTTACTTTTCGAACCAATTTTGCTGATGTTGCTGTTTTCTTTCGGCCACTTTCTTGACGTTGGGCTACGCTACCCGTATCACGGTAACGAGCGATGGTACGAGACACAAAAGATTTATTCACATTTAAATGCTGGAGTGCTCTAACGATAGCCACTTGTGGTTTTCCAGCCAAATATAAAGAAATCACACTATCACGCTTGAATTCCATCACGAATAACTTTTTTCTGAAAAATTCTCACCAAAATGCTTTTGTACGCTTGTAAACAATATAATGAGCTGTCGCGGGAATAATTTTAACAGCTGTCGGACGAGTGGCTTAGAAATGACAGCAGTCTGAAGTTGGTTGCAGTTTTTCATCTCACCCTTTAAGTAATTTATTGGAATTTATGATTTCTCATAAAATTAGATATAAATGTTCGATATCCTTCAAATGTAGCACATACCACTATATTTATCTGTACTAGATGAAGTATGAAAATGGAATACTTCGGTCCGCTATATCTGTTACCTCACGCATATTTCCACATTTTCCAAAAAATTAAATTACAGGAAGTAGTCAATATAGTCCAAATCTGTCACGTTGTAATACTTATATCAGTCTTAGGTCAGATACGAATTGGTCATTATTGGCCAACTGCTTCGCAACCTCCACCATAAAGTGTCAACAGTTTGAATAATCATAAGTCAAGGATTGGGGGAATACATCTCTCGGCCAAACCGACTGATACTTTTTTACTTGTTCTATATCTTTATCTCTCTTATCACCAACAATTATATTCTTCCTAGGATGTACACTACGGACCAAAGGCAGTTGCCGACTCCTGTGCAGCTGCGCATCCTTAAACCAATATCTATACAATTCCCACAAATTTTACTGTCATTTGCTTTCCAAAATCTCTGAGTTATATTCAAATAATTCCCTAAATTCTATTTCTATTTAAGTGATTTTAAATTATCATTAATTTTTAGCAAATTCTCCTATTTTCCCTAACAATAATCCTTTTTTTATTTATTCTTTTAGGTTACTAGCTGTCACAACATTTTTCTTTATTTTGGACGACCAACTTGAATTAGTTTTTGACACAATCACCTAACAGAGAAAATGTTTCGCAACACAGTTCTGTCCAATACCCCGACATATAAGCTTATATTAGGCTTTGGTCTATGCACACTCGGTGGTGCTATGTTATATGCCTACTTCAAGCAACGTGACGAAGATGATGAAGATCAAAAGCAGGACAATCGAAATCATTCACAAAAACCCAAAGCCATAAGCCGACAAAGTTCACAAGCAACAAAACAGGCACAAAAAGATGTTAAGGTTGAGTTTAAAATAACCAATGAACATGTTGCGCTCATAGCGGGTAGACAAGGGGCCAATTTGAAATCGATACAGGATAGAACCCAGACCACCATACATTTTCGGTGAGCAGCATAACAATCAATTAACATGTACGATTTTTAATAATGTCATTTTCATTAACTTTTCCAGGGACAAAGACGATACACATAAAATGTGTGAAATAACTGGCTATCCGGACAATGTAAAAGAAGCTCGTGCCATTCTCTTAAAGGAAATCGAACGTTCACCGATTGTCAAAGAAGAAATCTATGTACCACAAAGTGTTTGTGGCAAAATTATGGGTCGTTGCGGTGAAGCAATGCAAGAAATATGCCGTCTATCCTTGGCCAAGGTTTCCGTAGATGCCGGAGTACGCAGTGCCAATACGAGACGTATCACAATTACTGGTAATCGTCAGCAGGTCAATATTGCTCGTAAAATGATTGAAGATAAAATCGAAGAAGATGACAATTTACGCAGAGCTGTTCAAGAGGTGGAACAGAAACGTGAACCCAGACGTTCACCCGCAAACAGTGTCAATTCCAGCATGTATTCGTCACAGACATCGTTAAGTTCGCATTTGCCGCCGCGTGAAAAACTAATGGCCGCCCGCAACGATGAAAAACCCATGGAGGTATATGTTTCAGCCATTGCCTCGCCAGCAAAGTTTTGGGTACAACTCATTGGACCACAAACCAAGAAATTGGATGATTTGGTAGCCAATATGACAGCGTACTATAGTAATGCTGAAAATCGTGCAATGCATCAAATACATGAACCATATTTGGGCCAAATTGTCGCAACGGTTTTTAAACATGACAATAAATGGTATAGAGCTGAAGTTGTTGGCATTCTACCCAATCAATACAATCCCAATGAGGTTGTATTGGATTTGTATTTTGTTGACTATGGCGATAGTGAATATGTATTACCTCATGAAATTTTTGAATTGCGTACGGATTTTCTTACATTAAGGTAGGTTGAATGGAATATAAATACTCAAACAACTATTGAATCAAATATTTATTTTACAAGGAAAAGTCAGATCGTCAGGGTTTGGTTGAACTTTTTCTCTATTTGGCGCTTAAATACTGGATAAGGCCTTCTTGCCACTTAGTAGAAAACCTTGTAACACAGTTAAAAACCTTAAACCAGTTTTTATACCCTACACCACATAGTGATAAGGGCATTATGTCTTTGTGCATGGAGACGGAAGCGAGATAGTCCCACAGTTACTTTTGAGGATCTTCATATCTGTCTGTCCATGCATTCTTGTGAAAAAATGCAGGTCGTATTTATTATCCGATTGAGATGAAATTTTCCAAACAATATTTGTTTTGCCCAAGGCCGAACCCTACTGAAATTGGTGAGAATCGATTCAAATTTAGATATAGCTCCCATATGTATCTTCAACCGATTTCGGGTTAGCTGTGTACCAAATGGTCAATATAAGCCTGAAATTTCAGTCCAGAAGCAAGTACATCAAATTTGTTTCTGATATAGCTGTAACTTCCATATATATGTTTTACCCGATTTGGGGTTTAGAGTCCCTCACATTCGTAATATGCATTTGATAACAATGATATTGGTACCAGATACCTCAAAAATACCTTTGCCAAATTTTATCGACATCGGCTAAGATTTGGATATAGCTCCCGTATATATCCTTAATCCGATTTCAGGTTTATTGTGCTAATAATGGCTAATTTCAGCCCAAATGGACTGAATTTCGGGAAGTACGTTTCCATTTTGTGGAGCTCGTCTCCGATATATATTTTTTTAATATAATCCTTCTCGAATCAGGTTAGGTTTAAGGATGCGTAGCTACACCCGAGTCGTCAGCAGCATCACTTGCAAACCTTTGTTTGACCTGTTGTGTCCCTCTCAGTAAGAATAATGGGTGATGAGAGGAAAATGGAAAGAAAGCCAGGGGATGCGTATAGCAAACCTATAGATTATAATCGAACGACATTTGTCTCTCGTAAGATAACATGGGACATCTGCATAGTAGGTGTTCAATCGCCACTACCTCTTCTGCATTCTGCAGTAGTCAGGACCACTGTTAACCCTATCTAATATCTAATGCTGCAAAGGCCAGTCAAAGTTTCTACTGTGATTCTTAGATCAGACCGGCTAATTGATAGGAGGGAGCAGGTTCTTTCTCAAGATTGTCGCTAGATGACCTTAGGTTTTAAAGAATTTAAAGCAGTACATTTGACTTGGAAACACTCCTGTTATAATGAGGATGATATTAAAAAGTTCTCCAACCACATCAGCTGTCTTCTTAATTGGAAGAATCTTCGACTGAAAAAACGCTGAAATTATCATTTAATTCATTGATTATCATAGAATTTAAGTGGATTGGGGCATCATATACCGGTTCCTTCATCAGGCTTGGAACAGTCTGTGTACATAGCCAGTGGAAATTCGCCACCAGTCCAAGCGTTCCTATCAGGTGTTGTTATGTTAATGTAATTTAAGTCGAATTTTAGTAGATTAGGGCAGCATGTACCAGTTCCTGCATCAAGCTTGGAACCGTCTGTGTACATAGCCAGTGGAGGTTCGCCACCAGTCCAAGCGTTCTTCTCAGGTGTTGTTATGTTAATGTAATTTAAGTCGAAGAATTAGTCTTGAGGTGTGCCTTCATTAATGATAAAACCCTTTGTTTATGTAGCCAGACCTTACAGAAACGCTTACCACACTTCCAGTCATATCCGCATGCTGTAACTATCTATTTTGTCGTTTTACTAGGTAATAATCCTCAATTTGTTTCTTACAGATTTCAAGCTGTTGAATGCTTTTTGGCCAATGTGAAGTCAACGTTAATTAACGACCCACAGACATGGGAACCCCAATCCATTGAATTCTTTGAAGATTTTACACAAGGTAAGGTTACGTCCGCATAATTGATAGACTAATAAATCCAATTTGTATAATTTTCCTTTTCAAACAACAGTTGCCCGTTGGAAGAAATTAATTTCACGTGTTGTTACATATAAGGATCGCGTTAAAACCCTGACTGGAAATGCAGCGGCACGCGAAGGATCTCCCATACCCGGCGTTGAATTATATGATATACAAGAGGGTATGTTTTGTATATAACTAAGGTGTTTAAATTTTAAATATTTTTTTTCTGTGGCTTTTTTTTCTCCCGGAAATAGGCATTGAAATTAATTTGGGTCACATGATGATTTCTCATGGCTATGCTCTGCCAACCAGCGAGGATTACCCACGTGCAATGTCTCCGTATACAGCAAGTCTTAGCAATTCCAATGATGCCTTGACCTCATCGACAACGTCATCCGTTAAGCCACAATCACCGCAGCCACCTTTATCCCCAGCTGCCTACTCGAATAATGCCGATACCGCCGAAGATGCTTTAATTGAAGAACAATTGAAGCATTTGAAAACAGTTACTCCGTTTGATAAATACGTTAATGGCAACAATATTGCTGCAGCTGTTACAAAAATGTCTCCCTCGGAGTTTCTGAATGGCGGCCAAGCAGCAACAGCCGGAAGTGCAAACATAATGACCACAAACGGTCACCATCATGCAACGACGCCGTCAACATTATTCAATGGCAATCCTCAACGATAAAGACTGTGGTTATTGTTGTTACTTTAGAAGTACCAGAAATTAGATAGTATGGCAGTTGTAGTGTTCTTATATTTGTTTTTGAACAATACTTCTCCTGTAAATAGAATGTGAAGTTTTTTTTAAGTTTTCTACAAATTGTATTTTATTATTTTTATTTTTTTTTTTTAATTTAAGAATCTTTATGCCATATGTTTAGTTGTTATTTAATATTATTCTATTTTTCTTTGCTTCCTTTTTCTTTTTTTTTTATTTGGGGACATCATACACCCTATATGGTTTTTATTAAACAACTACTGTTGTCCTTTCTTTTTTCATTTCTATGAGCTATTTTTTATTTTCGGCCCTTTTCCTTTTTTATATTTGTTTCTTTCTTGAATGATTATCCTCAATTTGTGTAAATATTTCCAATGTATATTAAGTGTTTGTTTTATTACAATAACAACAAATGAACAAGAAATATCATTTATGTTCTATGTACCCTCCCAATTGAAACATTTACTTAATCAAATTGAGTACATATTGTTGATCCAATTGTCCGAAATTGGCGTTGCATATCGTTTTTGAAGATATCAAATACTACTTTGTTGTACAGAAAAACTTAACATGGAAAATGAACACAAAATTTCCATGGAAATAAATAGAATTTAAAAATCATAAAATTTGCATTTTATTTTAGTTTTTGTTCGACAAAGTTCGTATGCTGAAGGGAATTGAAGGAACCCTCAGCCAATGTTCGATTATTTACATATATTTTGATAATAGAGATAAAAATATTGGTATGGGAAAAATTACAAGAAAATCAAACATTTTGATGCAATTTTAAGAGAAATTATTTAATTCCATATTCATATTTCTGGTTGTGAAAAATATTTAGATACAGCATGTTGTAAAGAATCGCTGACTTGTTTTGCAAGTTATAACAGATAAAAGTATTGAAATTGGTCACCCTTTGTGGATGAGTTACCAGAAGGGGTTCGCATATGTATATATCATATTCACAACAGATCTTGTGTTAGCAAAAATGTTTGGCTGTGTGAAATGTAAGGCGAGTTGGATGCTTATTTCGCTTTCTTTGAGTGTTTTGTTTTTCAAAGTCTTGAACCCTTTGCGGGGAAGGTACCAAAAGGAGTGCGCCGATATATTCCATCTTCACAGCAGACCTTGTGTTAGTATAAAAAATGAGAGGCGCGAAATTTTAAAAGAACCGAATGCTTATTTCGGATTTTATAATCGTTTTGGTTATTCAAAATTTTGAACAGTTGTAGGGGATGTACCAGAAGGAATGGTCCGATCTCTACCATCTTTACAACAGATCTTGTGTTGATAGAAATATTAAGATGAGCAAAGTCTGAATCGGAATCGGGTGTTATTTTTGCGTTTTATGAGCTTAATGAATATTCAAAATTTTGACCCTTTATTGGGGAGGTACCAGAAGGAGTGAACCGATATATGCCATCTTCTCTGGGTTAATAAAAATTGAAGACAATCGAACACTTACATTAAATTTTTTAAGAGTTATTACTATTCAAAATGTTGATCCTTTGTGGGGGAGGTACTTGATAGAGGATAGATGAATGGACATCGCTAGATTGACTCGAAATGTCCTCAAATGGATTTGGTCCAAAGGACCTAGGGTCTAAAACCATTATTTCGATAAGGAACATTTTGGCCGTATCAAATGATTCAAACGGCCAATGAAAGCGTCACACACTGCCCGAATGTTGCTCGGCGGTATTTCGGTCCATTCCCGGCCAAGCGCTTGCTTGAGGTGATCGACACTTTGGTATTTTTTAGTGCCAATCTTGCTTTTCAAAATACCAACGGATTGGTATCCTGAGATTTTAGTGGCCTTTCTGCGCTAGAAATGAAGCGAGGAACCTCATTTTGTAACAATTCTTGGGTGGCGCTTGGTGAGTGTGATGGTGCTGAGTCCTGTTGGAATGTCCAAGGTTTGCGGCCAAAATGTTTGCGTGCCCAAGGCTCTAGAATATTTTCGCGATAATATTCGTCTTTATTCTGAAATCACACTATCACGCTTGAATTCCATCACGAATAACATTTTTCCTGTAAAATTCTCACCAAAATGCTTTTGTACTCTTGTAAACAATATAATGAGCTGTCACTGGAATAATTTTAACAGCTGTCGGAGGAGTGGCTTAGAAATAAGAGCAGTCTGAAGTTTTTTCATCTCACCCTGTATACCCTCTCTAGACAGATGGCTTAGGGTATAAAAATTGTTTTTCCTACCGCAGCATTTTGTTCAATATAGACCTATATGATGAATATCTAACGCAGCCTACTTCATGCTTTCGTCATGGACTGCAGAAAAAAGACGTTAATGTTCATGAAGCTAATCGGGGGGCTTCACAGTTTCCTCATTCGATTGAGGAATAGTTCACATTCCATTTTATTTATCCAGCCAAGCCTTACAAAAAGCATAAACTATAAAACCCCTTCCTGCCTATAACTTGAGTTAGCTATAACTTGAGTTAAACAGTAGAAATGTTTTTGCATGCTTTTTTATTATATATTTTTAGAAATTTATAATACGCTTACATGAAATATATATAAAAATTGCACCAAGCACAATATTGTATAAAGAAGGTTGTATTATTTCTATAGACTTATTTTGATATCTCAAGATTCTTCGCAGTAATTGGCAGTATATGTTATAAATACTTCGAAGTTTTGATTTCAGAACCTAAAAAATTGAGAGCAATTGTTCGCACATAAATGCAATTTGTTATTGTTATAAGACTGAAGTTCTTGTTAATACTATTTCTCTGAATATACATCTAAAAAATGAAATGCATTTGGACCTCGAATATTGGTGATGATCGAAACTGGGAAAATGACCATGTTAATTGATTCCCATACAATGATGTTGAAATGTTGAATACGCACAAATCTTATCATAGACACACTTTGTAATGAATGGGATCCTTTCTACGAATGAATCTTATATTAATATATCATTGGTCGTATTGATGGCAATGGGTGGCAAATATATCGCACGTATTTGACTGCGTAGTCTAGCAATTTCCACATCCTCTCTTTCCAGTTCACGTATCAATTGCGAGAATTGAACCAATCCTTCACGATTGCCCGAAAATCCATAGGATTTTATTACCTCCGTTTGTAATTGCATTACCAATGGGAAAACATGCTGCATCATCAGGAGCATTTCCTTGCCAGCCGAGGCCTTGGCTTCCGATAACTTTTTCGAATTCTCAGGCTGATTTACTGTGCGTATGATGTCAATTAATATTTGTTTGGCAGTATCGTTGTTCATTGTTGCTGTTGTTTGTTTAATTATTATTTCTCTCGGTCTTGCCTTTGAACAACGCTAAAAACGTTCCAAACGATACGAATGTGACGCGGAAGAGAATAGCCGACGATTTTTTGTTTACGAAATCAATGTGATGTATTCAAAGAAAATGTTTCTCTTTCGGTAACATAGCATTCACACAAGGGAAATGGTTTTCAATCAGAGCTGTATTTACAACCACAGATATCTGGCATAATCAAATAAAGCAGGCCATCCACAGGCGAATCTGTTCGGCGAACTGTTCGTCGAACAAAAATTTCATTTGCCCACCAACGAGAGCGAACATGCTCGCGAACATCATTTGTAAACAATTTTCATCGAGTAAACATGTCATCAGACAGCGACCGCGACACAGTCATTGCCTTGATGGCAATACATGTTTGTTTGGAGGAAAATGAAAATAAGGAGGAAGATAAAAAAAATAAAACACAGCATATGGATGAAAGAATGGTATGCAAAGCGTCAAAAGTTCACACATACAAAACTCTTAAAGGAACTGAAAGAAAGTTCCCGGGTGGATTTAAAGAATTTTCTTAGAATGGACGCTGAAACATATGCAGCTCTATTAAATTTGGTAGCTCCAGAAATTCATCGACAGGATACTACAATGAGAGAAGCAATAAGTGCAAATGAAAGGCTTTCAGCGACTTTTTTGGTATTTTAACTGAAATTTCTCCCCAGAGTCTTGGACTTGGACGATTTGTTTCTGGCATTTTTATTTTTATATATGTCGCTTTTTGTTTGCCACAATGCTGGTTCATTTTCCAGGCAATTAATAAATTCCGATAGAAATTGTTGTGACATTTTAAGTTCGTCTTCACTCTAAAAAAAGTATTTTTCAACTGATGTTCGGCGAACACTGTCACCCACTGTGTCAAATGTTCGTGCGAACACAGAAAAGAGGTGTGTCTGGTTACCCTAAAGTTTGTGACAATTGTTGCTAGAAGTCGTCTGTTAACCCGAAAGTTCTGCAAAAGAGAGCGGTTGGAGAGAGAAATTTTGACAGTTCTTTCAGTGAGAGTTTGCAAATTCTTGCTGGACAAATTTCTTCTTGCAATCAAGGTAGATGTACTAGGTAATCGCATCAGCCCAGCTGACGGCACCATTAAATGTCAAAACAAATTGTTGTAATGAAGAATTCGCCCTAAATGAATGCAACAACAAATTTGTTTATGTTGTCTTCCCTAAAAGTACCTTTTTATAATATTTCAAATAATTTAAGAGCAAGTAAAGAGTGAAACCAGTAAAAAAAATTAAAAGAAAATGAAGGAAGGAGGTTAGAATGGAGTGCAGCTTTAAGAATTAAGTTAGCCTCGACATCTAAGATTCCCAAAGCACATCACGGGGAGTAGTGCAAGAATTCGACTCTTGTCATTTGCAGTTCCGGAAAACTTTCGGTTTAAACCAGTAAAATATAGTCATTATAAGTTTCTTGGTTTAAAAAATATCGGAATACTACAATTAATACTTATTTTATTCTTATTTGTTTTACAATAAAAACTTTTATTGCGACGTTCGTTTACGACGAGAGGCACACAAAATAAAATGTAAACAAACACCTCGTTTCTGATTGGTTGAAACAAATTTGTCGCAACTTTTAAATGTTATGGCGAATCTATGTTTTTCGCCTTAGATGTCAATTTTGACATTTGAGGGGACCACAAAAGTTGCTTTGTTGTAGCAATTCGCCGATGCGGTTACCTGTTAGATCTACCTTGCTTGCAATCACTTGCAACTCTTCTTCTTCTCATTCATCGACATTCAATCAGATGTTTTCTATTGTTTGTTTGTTTATTTTTGTGCTTTCAATTTGAACTATTTTTTTTTTTTTTTTTGGAATTAGCAAGTTTTTGGAGACTAATAGTTTGTGTAATAAGAAAATAAAAGACTATTTCAAACATTTTTATTTAAAAAAACTTGTAAAATTAGTATTGCTTCCTTTGTTTTAATTCTCCTTATGGGGCACAAATTGGTTTGTTTTGACAAATCAGCTGATTAGTTGCAAGCTTCTGCAAGAATACCGTCTGTTTACTTTTCGCATTTTCCTTGCAAAAGAGAATAAAACTGCCTTTTCTCTCAGAAAGAAGTTGCTGGACAATTCCTGCTGGAAAAGTAACCAGACACACCTAAGATTGAAACGCTTTAATTTTTGGCGAACAAAACGACGAACACAAAATTCACTAACACCAACAAAAAATTCACTAACACCAACGATGTAAACAACACATGTTCGTCGAACAAATTCGCCTGTGGATGGCCTGCTTAATCGAAAAAGTTGGTCACGGTACTTTTTTGATATGAAAAAATCGCGGAAAATTAGAAGACCGCTTCTCGCGTTATCAATATGATCAAAATTTTGTTATGTCTCAAAATTCAAAAGATTTTTGTAAATTTTTCACTCATACATGTACCCACACCTTAACATCTGAATAAATAAAAATGTCTTGTCGGTCTTGCTGGAATATATATGGAAATGTAACATTAGACGTGGAATACAACATCGACGTAACCATAACCCTAACTATAACCCTACACACATTTAATTTTTTCATTAGCGGTGACATATTTCTGCAAAAATATTCAAATAAATGTACATAGATAGAAGAGCGGAAGAAAAATATAAATTAAAACTTATAAATATATATCAGTCTTTACAAAACACAACAAAAGAATGACAACAATGATCACGCAGAAACCAAAATTCAAGCGCACCTTAAGGAGGTTGAACAGCTTCGTAAAACTGCTAAAATACAGACCTGAGGCTATACTCGCTTTAAAATCCATGGAAAAAGTGGTTAAAATTCATTGTACATACAAAAATCAGAGATGGAAACCTGCTTTCTATGCAGTGAAATTTGACAAGGTAAATTGCAGAAAATGCAAAGATGAGAATGCTTATTTATTCTTTATTTTACCATGGAAAAATTGTTGAAAAATCCTATTTGTATCGCATAAGAAAACATGTAAACAATGTAGACACCAAAACAGGCTATATTAAAAACGAATGGATATTATTTATATTGTCTTACGCTACCTCCACACTAACTGCCTTGTAAAAACATGCGTTGCCAACGTTTTCGCTTCTGGCAATGCCATAAAACTTTTGACATTTTCAGAAAAACAAAAAAAAAAACTAATTGTCATTGAATTTTTTACAGATCCGATCCACGGAAATTTTAAGATTTTTTTAAAAACTTTTTTATCACTATCTATGCAAAATATTTTGCAACAAAGCTTAAAAGACACAGAAAACGCTTACTGCAATACGTAGCTATGTCAAGTGGTATTTATTTGCCATAGTGGTGTCAGGAGAAACAAAACAACTGCTTAACATAAAACTAGATAATTAGAGGTCCGTCAGTCGCCAGACCTATTGGAGTGAAAAAAACACCAACTAGCCAGTAGGTCAGTAGACATAGCCATGTACAACAAAAATACATTTGAAAAAATTCATTTTCTTACAGTTTAATATAATTGTTCAATATTCTGTGAAGTTTGGACCAAGAAAAAACGCAAGCGGACTGACACACACGGTGGTTTAGTTTAGAAAATATCTGCTGCTGCACACACATACAACAAAGATGGATGACGGACTTACTAATGAGCAGACGGAAAAGGTATTGCAACTGCAAGATCTTACGGGCATTGAAGATATGAGTATATGCCGTGATGTATTGATAAGGCACCAATGGGACTTGGAGGTGAGTAATGCAGTCTTTAGTATTTGTAAGAAAAGAAAAAAACAAGTATTTTTCTTTCAATTTGTTGGAAGGTGTTAATATTGTTAATGAATTTAAGGCTGGGTGGGAGGGTTTGTAGGAAATATTTCTATATCTTAGCCTATTAATATGGAAACTTGTAATGGAACTAAAGTAACAACAAATTTAATTTGAAAATTGTACCATATGCAGCTCATAGAGTTCCGATTACAACGATGCATTTTTATTCTTGCAGGAGGCTCTGGCTCTTGAGAAACTTGAGTTACCAAAGTTCCTTACATTTTATGGTGATTTTCAATGTGTAGAACTAAAGTACGAAATACAATTTCCAATAACTTTTTAAAAAAGTAGACGTGTCTCGTAGTTGGTGTTGGAATTTGGGCCGAAACCGTCTACATTTCGGAATGTATTAAATTATGATATTAGAATCAGGATCTCAAGTGATTCATAATCATATACACATTGCCTTGATAGGTCTCAAAACTAATCCAAGAACATCTGCAGAACTTTGCAGATCCATATCTCAAATGTATGAGCTTTCAGAAATAAAATCTGATATCGCTATACTGTAGCGGCCCCAAGGGACACTTGTACTACAGTTTTCAAAAGTTTCTGCAATGAGTGCTACTTCATCTTAATATAATTTCAAAACAAACCCACTTATTAGTTATTCTCATGTCGATATAAGTAAGGTTTAGAAGATGTAATCGCTCCATCTCTGACATAATTTCCATAAAATGTTTATTCTTCAAGGTGGCCGTGCAGGAGCAAATGAACATACGCGAAGGTAGGCCCTCATCCTATGTCGGTTCTAGAGAAGTACGGGCTCCAACTGTCATCAATGATCGTTTCCTGCAACAGGTCTTTTCCGCACACATGCCCGGAGGTCGAACATCACGTGGCAGCAATTCTGGTCCAATGCCACGTAGTATAACCGGTATTATTGGTTATATTATCAATATGGTGTTTCAATATTGTTATTCGACAATATCAAGCATTTTGGGTGCATTCTTTGGAGGAAATGAAGAAAGAAGTAAGAATTCAAGCACAATATTGATTACAGTAAACTTATATTTATTTCTATATTCCAGTTGTCACAGATCCCTTGGGTGATGTCATGAGTTTCATACAAAGCTACAATGAACGTTATCCTCAGCATCCGGTCTTCTACCAGGGCACCTATGCCCAAGCCCTGAACGATGCCAAACAAGAATTACGCTTCTTGTTAGTGTATCTACATAAAGATCCTACTAAAAACCCAGATGTAGATTCCTTCTGTAGCCAAACATTGGCTAATCGTAGCGTTATAGACTTCATCAATCGCAATACCTTATTTTGGGGTTGCGATGTATCATCGCCTGAGGGCTATCGTGTCTCACATTCAATAAATGCACGTACCTATCCCATTATGGTACTTATTGCCTTGCGAGCCAATCGCATGGTAATAATGGGACGTTTTGAGGGCGATTGTACAGCCGATGAGCTGGTGAATCGTTTGCAAACTGTGATCAATGCCAACGATGTGTGGTTAAGTCAAGCCCGAGCGGACCGTTTGGAGAGAAATCTAACACAGACCCTGCGTCAGCAACAGGATGAGGCATATCTTCAAAGTTTAAGGGCCGATGAAGAAAAGGAGCGCCAGCGTGAATTGGAACGGCAAAGAGAAAGAGAAGTAGAAGAGGCTTTGGAAAGGGAGAAACAAAAAGTCGAGGAACGTAAGCAGGTAATGTGTTGACTGACTATACAATCGCCATTGAAGAGTGTTAGCATGTTATTCTGTTCCCATAGGAAATTGTACGATTGAAAATGGAATTGGCCCAACAAGTCCCGTCTGAACCACCCGCCGATGCTGTGGATGCCATTAGTGTGGTATTTAAACTACCAAATGGTGCACGTATTGAACGTAGATTCCAGCAATCAAATTCGTTATTAGTAAGTCATAGAACTTGGCATTGAACTCTTGCTTAAATAACTATACGCTTGTCTTTCAGGATCTTTCCAATTATTTGTTTTGCCATCCATCAACACCGGATGAGTTTGAAATCACAACGAATTTCCCCAAAAGAGTTCTATATTCGAAATCCTATGAAACAGATAATGATGCTGCCACTTTATCACTTGCTAATAAGACTCTAGTTGAGGTTGGGTTAACAAATCGTGAGGTTCTATTTGTCAATGATTTGGAGGCGTAATATTAGTAGTACATTTTGTGATGTATGTATATGAATGTTGATTATGATAATCGCGATCATATAGATGGTTATGATGATTAAAAAAGAAACTAGAATATTCAGAACTTTCGTGAACGCCAGAAATGTTATGAAGAAATGAAAAGTAATAAAACAAAACCGAATGCCCATTGATGTGTTTAAATCTAACGTAAAAATTCCAAGACATTTTTTGTGGAGCACTGCCCAATCCGCCACCTTAAGAAGGGGGATTAAAACTCAACACCCGTTTTCATTTAATATATTCGTATTTCTAACTGGAAAATTGATGGAAAAGAAGAATTCCTAATTTTGTTAATATTTTTCTTAATTTTTTTTTTTGTTAAAATTTTTATTTTTTAATTATTTAAGCCCATTGCTGGAAAATGATAAAAAATACAGTTCATTAACAATCCATTTTACAATCCATTTCAATTAACTACATTGTGGTAAGCAATCTGTACACTATTTATATTGGATATGACCATACAGGGTGAAATAAAAAAAAACTGCAACAAAGTCAAACGTCATCATTTTTACATTTTTTTAGATTTTATTGAATGAAAGCAAAAAACTATCGGAAATAGAATCAAATTTTAGAAAAAGTTTAGTTTTGTTCGAATTGATCACCTTTGAAACGAATTATGCCCTTCAAACGGCCAGTAAAACAGTCACACGCTGCCCAAATGTTGCTCTGCAGTATTTTGGCCCATTCCCGGCGAAGCGCTTGCTTGAGGTGATCGAAACTTTGGTATTTTTTAGTGCCAATCTTGCTTTCCAAAATACTCCAGACACAATAGTCCAACGGATTGGTATCCGGAGATTTTGGTGGCCATTGTGGGCTGCAAATGAAGCGAGGAACCTCATTTTGTAACCATTCTTGCGTGGCGCGTACTGAGTGCGATGGTTCTGAGTCCTGTTGGAATGTCCAAGGTCTGCGGCAAAAATGTTTGCATGCCCAATGCTTTAATATACCCTCCAGAATATTTTCGCGATAATATTCGGCATTTATTCTAATGCCACGGTCGATTAATACGAGCGGAAACCGACCATCGATTGAATTCCGGTGGCTAACCGAAGGTCCACATTTTCAGCTGACCTCTTTGGCAAGCAAACACGATCATTTTGTTTGTTTACAAACTGCTGGACAACGAATGTTTTCTCATCGGGGAAAACCAAATTCGATTCGGCAGTTCACCAATTTCGGCCAAGCGAAGCAACTCTTTAGCTCTTTTGAGTCTATTTTCTTTCTGTTGCGGTGGAAGTTCTTGCACTTTTTGGAATTTCAATGGCTTTATCCCGAGTTCATTTTTCAATATTTTCGAATGGAATATTGCGATATGTTCAGCTCACGAGCCATTTTTCAGCCACTGCGATGAGGGTTTCGATCAAGTCGCTTCTTTACCTTTCGAACCATTTCTGCTGATGTTGCTGTTTTCTTTCGTCCACTTCCTTGACGTCGGGCTACGCTTCCAGTATCACGGTAACGAGCGATGGTACGAGACACAAAAGATTTATTCACATTTAAATGCCGGAGTGTTATAACGCTAGCCACTTTTGGTTTTCCAGTCAAATATAAAGAAATCACACAATCACTCTTGAATTCCATCACGAATAATTTTATTTCTGGAAAATTCTCACCAAAATGCTTTTGTACGCTTGTAAACAATATAATGAGCTGTCACTGGAATAATTTTAACAGCTGTCGGACGAGTGTCTTAGAAATGACAGCAGTTTTTTCATGTCACCTTGTATATTGAGGTTTCTTCTGTTGAGGTGTTACATCCCGAAATAATAGAACTCTAGCATAAAATGTCCCGCTTAACGACACATATAAACGGATCACCAATGAAAGAGAAGAAGGCGATTTGAACTAATATCTTTCATCACCTTGGGACTGGGTCTGAAAAAGGATAATGGACTGATTGAGTCCACATAACAACACAGTACTTTAGGGCCGCTTTAGGCCTAAGTAGTTTGACAAGTCTTAATACATTGTAGTAAATTTTCGGACATTCAAAGTATTATATATTATTCAAGATTCCCTTTTTCGGAAAGAATAATACCCCAAAAAATTTTGTAATCTTTCATTTCAAAGACAATATTAGTATAACCATGGCACAATGGACCCACATCCAATTTTTCTGTTCAAAACTATTGCAACGTCTCTATATTTAATCTCTAACTATCAAAAGTGACCTCAATGTCAAATTTCAGAATTTCTGTTCTATCCATTCACCCAATACCAAATTTGGTAACATTTATTACAAAAATCCAAAACAATTTATTATCTCTTTCCTAGACAACAACAGTGATCCAAAATTGGTACCAATTAGTACTTTTCGAAAAATTATAGCATGCTTCTGCAAAACCACCACCAAAGACCTGAATATCAAATTTCGGAATTCCAGTTCCAATTTTTAGTACACTTCGGATAATTTTAGTACTGATTTGTAAAATCGTTCCGTATCTCAATTCTATGCACCAACAGTTATCGCAATATAAATTTTTTAATGGTTTCAGCTCTATCCTTGACCCAATACCAAATTTAGTTCAATTTAGTACTTTTCGAACTACTATAGTACGCATTTCCAAACCCCCCTCCAAATCACAACCTCAGATTTAAACAGTTAGCTATCTCTTTGACCAAATTTAGTACCATTTAGTACTTTTCGTACATATTTCCAAAGCCACATTCATATCTTAACCGCAAACACCAACAGTGGCATCTATATCAAATTCCAGGATTATAACTCTATAACTCCACCCAATACCAAATTTATTACTATTTAGTACTTTTCGTACCAAATGCACACATTTCCAAACCACTTCATCATCAGTTATCTAAGTATCAAATTTCTGAATTTCTTCTCTATCCCTTCACCCGATACCAAATATAGTAGAATTCAGTACTTGTCGTACAAATATTGTACAAATTCCGAAACCACCTTCATATTTCCAGGCTACACATGAACAGCGACCCTAAACCAAATTTCAGATTTCAAGCACTATCACGAATTGTAACAAATATAGTACTATTTCTTAATCGCTGAAACCATACCTTCACCTCATACCAAAATTTCGTACTATTTACTACTTTTCGTACAATTTTAGTACAAATTTCCAAAACCACCTCTATATCTTAACCACAGACAGCAACAGTGACACCCATATCAAATTTCAGCTCTTTTTCTCCAGCCAATACCAAATTGTACCAAGTATACAGTATACATTAAAAAAAAACAAACAAGTAAAAAGCTGCGCCGAACTTTGAATCCCCTCCACCATTTGGAACTAATTTTGCAATTTTCAAAAAAAAAAATAATAATAATAATAATAATAAAACCCGTTAGAAATTCTGTTAAAATCTTAAAAATACCGAATGTAGCCTTTATATTAGGGTCAAAACGACGACGTGGACCTGCATAGGCAACTTTTGCCATAAGCCATTACAATATTCAAGTGCGAAACTTGAAAAAAATCGTTGAATAATGTAGCTAAAATCATCGAAATACCGAATATAGGGAGGTACCATTACATGTGGGCTATACCAAAACGTGGACCTGCACAGACAATTTTCTGTCTTAGGCTGTAGTGTACATTACGAACTTCAAATACCCAATTTGGAACATTTCCGGTGAATGATGTCGCTAAAATCATGAAAATACCGAATATCGGAAGGTACCGTTACATGGGGGCTATACCAAAACGTAGACCTATGTGGGCCATTTTCAATATCAAAAGTCCTGCATACATAATATACATTTGAGTAAAATTGTATCAACCTACTTCATTTCGTTCGGAAGCTAGAGTGATTTCCACAGGCGGACGGACGTCGCTAAATCGACATAGAGTTTTATGCTGATCAAGAATACTATGGAGGGAGGGACTGAACGAAAAATATTACTCGGACAAAAAAATGTAGGTACGGCCGTCATATGTAACGCTAACGCCAACGGTGTAGAGCTAGGGCATGAGCAAATGAATTTTATGCCGAAGCAGTGATGCTTTCATGCCGAACCCATCCTCCACTTATTCCACTCCTTAAAAATGAGATGTCCAAAAACACATACATCCGTTTCATTTGTTTTCTCGTTTTTATTTACCGCATAAAGGCGTACACACATTATATTTAAGATTCATCTAAAATACTTATATTCATACTTTATTAGTCTAGATTTCATTCGATACAGTCGGTTGATGACTATTACAACCACCATCAGATATTTCCGAACTTGTATCGGTTGTTTCAACTTCCTCCAATTTGATCGCCTTCGATGCTGCTACACGAGAAGAAACCAAATTAGCCTTGGCAAGAATTTCCGATGGATCGTCTACATGGTGTTTATTAATTATATGTTTTTTTAAATCACTTATGGTTACGATACCAGTACCACAGACTGGGCAAATGTTTTTTGGTCTATTAATATCATGGCTTAACATATGCGACGCCAATGAACTATACTTTCGATAGCATATCGAACACATAGTTTCTGGCCATTCGGAGCGTGGATGAGCCCGTTTAACATGCACCGATCGTTCATAGGATGTAGTCAGATTGACCAAACATATGGGACATTCAAAGGTCCCCTTGCGAAAGTGATTACGACGCAAGTGGCCATAAATTAAGCCCAGCGAGTTGCAACGCGACTCACATAGCGTACAAATAAATGCTCTATGCGGCATATGGGTTAGCTTGTGTTTTTGCCGATGCGACATAGTACTATCAAGCAATAGACTACACTGCAGGCATTTATGCCTACCCGACGCGACATCGTATTCGGACAGCTCGGATAGGTTAAAGAATGTGTGCTCTTTGCTAATGTGTTCATTCCAGGCGGTATGTGTATCAAACAATTGATTACATTCAGGACAGGCAAAACCAATAAAACTTACAAACTCATTTAAAATTATTGACTTGCTAGAGAGTGTACCCAGGCCGTTGTTAATGGTATCCTGTTGGTTGCCGCTTCCAGAGTTGGTTGGTGTGGTAGATGTCCTTCCCGATGTAATAAGCCTTCGTTTTACACCTTTCATGATATTTTCTGCCATGTCAGAGTTGTCCGGCTGCAATGACCTCTTCACACGAATACCCATACTGTGAAATCTACGTACATGTCTTCGGCATATATCTATGCCTGTATAGGAACGTTGACACATCAAACACCTGTAGGGTCCATCACCTATATGCTTTATGTAATGATTTAGACATATTTCATTACTGACGCTGCGTATTGTAGTTTTACACTTCCTACAAACCATATCGATATTGTTTGCACTTTTATTGAATTGAGATATAAAATTGTTGTGATTATCACGGAAATGCTTTTCAATATCTTCCTTGGCGGGGAAACGTTTTATTTTCTTGCACATTGAACAAATTATCTCAATCCAATTCAATTCGTCATCACACAATTTTGGTATCTTCATCGATTTATAGTCATCCTGCAAACTGCTACTATCGTCATCTCCGCATTGCTTTTGAAAATGTTCAACGGCCGTCTCCAAATCTCGAAAACATTCCGCACACTTCAGACACGTATATGGAAAATGGGGTAAATGTTGGAAACGATGCGTATGTATGTCCTTTGATGATTTTCCTACTCCTGTACCACAATCGATGCAAACATATTTATTGGAATCACTTTCCATAATTGATAGGCGTAAGCTCTTTAATGAGTTAATAAGATGCGTTTGCCTTAGGTGCAATTGCCACGATGTAAAGGTTTTGAAATCGTTCCCACAAAATGGACATACATGCATTATGTATGCTTCGAATGCTTTCCATTCTGTTGTTTCGTAGGCAGGAATGTCTAGTGTTGAAAGTATTGTTGGAGGCGGAATGTTGGAAGATGATGATGGCTGATTTCTAACATTCGAAAAATGTATGTACATTTGAGTACAAAAGTGCAGGGTGTCCTTAAATGTTAATTTCAATTGACAGTATCTACAGAACCAAACAAATTCTTCTTTATGGGACAGATAATGTTCCAGCAGTTTCTGTCCTCCTGTATCTACAAATTTTTGAGAACACTCGTGACATTCAAACTGTTTCTCTCCATTCAAGCAGACTTGTGAAAAATGCAACAGCTTCCAGTTATAATCACACAATCCATGTAAATTCATTAGGTGATCAAAAAATTGATTTTCCTTATCGAATTTGGGATGATTGCATAGGGCACAAATGAAAAACCCAAACTTGGTTTTAAATTCGCTATTGTGAATATCCATAAAATGTAGTTTCATTAGCATTTTTTCCGAAAACTGTATATTGCACTCCGGAATCGGACAATATGTAAAGGTAACCTTTAACTTTTTATGGTTTTCATTCATGTGTTCCACTATGGTCGTAAAATCAACTACTCGCAGTTTACAGACCTTACAGACAAATAGTACATTGTTTTCCGAACTGTGACTACTAAGGTAATGTAGGAAATGATTGGCATGAGACGTCAACGTCAAACTGCAAATTTTACAAGTGGCCGTTCGAATGGATAAATATTCATAGTTACTTTTAATCTCTTCAGCAAATTGGGAATGATAGTGAGTTATGTGTTTTGACCACATACCGAATCTTTGTACCGACACCTTGCATATGGGACATAGTATGCGTATCGAGTTTTGATGAAGTAAATTTACAACTTTTACATAAATTTCTGATTGTTTTTTCTTTCGTCTTTGTCTTTTTTTAGGTCCACTTTTCTGTTCGACGGCTTCATCTTCCGATGGAGATGATGCGTTTAAATCGTTGCTAGCATCTTCCAACAAAGCAACATCGTTGTCGCTACATTCATTAGAATAATCATCATTGTCATGATCCATTCCACCACCATCATCCCCATCCATAAAGTGTATGGAAAATCCGTCTACATGATACTCTTTTTCCTGGTCTGGGCTTTCACAAGTATCCTCGATAATTAGCTCTTCTTTCTTTACCACCATTTGAATATTTGGTGCAACTGGTGTGGGATCTGGGCTTTCACAAGTATCCACGATAATTAGCTTTTCTTTCTTTACCACCATTTGAATATTTGGTGCAACTGGTGTGGGATAAGGGCCTTCATCATCGCTATCAGCTTCTTGTTTTATTTGAACCTCCATATTTTCCCTTTATATATATAAAACTATCCGATTTTAGATTTTTTTCTGACGGCATCAATAATGAAGAGCGAATGAAACGAATATGAAGGCCACAAAGGAATGCCCGATGAAAAATAAACGAAAGCAAAAACTCGGGGTACTCTATTGTTTACGAATGAGACATGAGAAAATTAAACATCTTCACTAAAGAGCGGGGAACTAGTTGCTACTATCGTTTACCGAACTCGACTATGGACTTGTGTAAAAACCGAGTACTTGCCTATTGATAGCAGAGTTGCCACCGAGACACTGCATATTATAATATTACGTATTTTGGAAAAATTTTTGGGTTTTTCTAATTTGTTTGGTTTTTCACTGGGGTTTAGGGATAGGTAAGTCGACTTTCGATCAATCGCATTATCGACTTTTAATACTCTGAAAATTGAACTCGACTATGGACTTGGGTGAAAACCGATTATTCGACTTATGCTATGTTCTCATTGCACTTTCATTCACTTTGTTCGCTCTCAAAATTATGCTAGATTCTCATTGCAATTTCATTTAAAAACGTTCCAGACAAGGTAATTTTTATATAATTTATATAATTTTTCAGACAAAGGGCGAATTCACGCCTCAGTCTTTTCTTGCTGTAAAGTTTTTCTGCAATCGATCAAAAAGGAAAAAAAATACTAAAAATTACCTGTAAAATTTCAAATTTACCTATGTATATGTTTATTTTGTAAAAGTAGAAATATTTGTAAAACTATTTGAATTAAAACGAGTCTTTACAGCAAATGAAGAAAGCAGCCGTCCATATCTTGCCACCTTGTAAATAAACGAATTAGGAAAACCAAGGAGAATGAAATAAAATGTAATAACGCACAAAATCCCAAAATGTATGTTTTTTTTCGAATTGGTGCGATGCAACTTTGTTGACTTGTATATGGAGCCAGGGTTCTATTGTTACTGGAATCAGATTTTTAACACGGGCTGAAAACCGGAGCGTAGAGTGACCAAGTATTATTACAATTTATTTCTGGAAGTACCCCAAATTTTTGACCCAAAAGTCCGGGTTCAAGACCCGGATCCGTTTGAAAGCTTATGAAAATACCTATACAACAAGTGGTCACATGTTATTTAAAGCGGTTACAGTCAAGTTATTGTAAGTCCAACGCCGGCTTCGCGTTGTCGGTCCTTGGTCCGTCCTCCTTGAAAAAAATAATTTTCCGGAATCAGGGTAATAATACCTACCACTGCAAAAAATTTCAAAAGGCATTTGCTATTTTAAGAAGAAGCCAGGCGATGACCTATAAATGAATACATAAAACTAAAGCTGGAAATACATAAAGCGCTTATCTGGCTGGCTTAAGTCATCGTCTGGCATCTTCGTAAATGAAGAAAGGAGGCTTAGGTTGACTTAGTTCGATTTTGGCCCTAGGCTCCTTTGTTCATTTCCGAAGAAGCCAGCCGATGACTTAAGCCAGCCAGATAAGCGCTTTATGTATTTCCAGCTTAAGAAATCCTAAAATTCCTTTGAATTCCTACGAAGAAGTCGGCCGATGATTTAAGCCAGTAAGGATGTTTTTTATGTAAGTTTTTTTTTACTGGCTTAAGTCATCGGCTGGCTTCTTCGTAGGGGAACAAACGATTCTTGAGGTGAGAATACATAAAACGTTTTTTTTTTTTGACTGGCTTAAGTCATCGGTTGACTTTTCGTAGAGGAATAAAGGAATTTAAGGTTGACTTAGTTCGATTTTGGCCCTACGCTCCATTGTTGTTTTCCGAAACAGTCAGCCGATGACTTAAGCCAGTCAAAAAAGCGTTTTAGGTATTCTCACCTTAACCTTAAGTCAGTAATCCTTCTATATACCTAAACCTTTAAAACAGATAGAAAAGCCTTCAAGTATTTGTTTATTAACTACTTTGTACCAACAATTAAACGCCAGCCCCGTGCAAATTAAAGGATTTCATGTTTTATGCAAACTCTATTTATTGGTTAATATTGATAAGTAATAGTATGTTATAAATAATATGATTTGGTGGCCGTTTAATCTGTGGAAATGTTCATATATCTTGATAATTTTTGAACACTTCGTCCAGCCTTTCCTTCTTTTCAATATTTACTTGACCATGCAGAACGAAATCCGGCAAATCAATACCATTCAAATGTTCCTTCAGATTAATTTGCTCAATAACATTTTTAATTTTTCTTGCAATGTCCTTTGGTTCACCTTCCAATTCCAGTTTGCTGTCATCCATCAGAGCAAGAAAAAATCCGAAAGTTTTATTTGGAATATAATCTTCCTCCGAAGAACATCGTTCACCAACGTCAATCGGCGATGTATGCACGAGAACAAACAGTACAGCAAATACTCCAATTGTGAACGTCTTCATTGTATCGACTATAGCTTTGCTTACAATGTAAAGCCAAGTGTCGGAGGGAATATTTATATACGACTTTAGAGAAAAACTCTATATTAACTTATGTGAAATTCAATTAAAAATGGTATGTTAATAACTGGTATGTGTGTAATGAGATGTCTTAATTTATTTTGTTTTTAATTAGTTTTTCTGAATTATGTGTTTTTCCTTATTTATTCTTAAGAGCTATGACCATACTACAATTGACTTTTCTTTGGAATACAGCAATTACAATTAATCTTGTATTATTAAGGTTGGGATGCATAGAAGGATTTTTTCTGGCATAAGTTATCGATTGTTATTTTTTAAGTTAGGGTGAGAATACGTAAAAGGCTTTTTTTGAGTGGCTTAAGTCATCGCATGGCTCCTTTGTGGGTTAAGGTGGTAAAAGAACTAAGAAGCAGTCCGAAATTGAACTAAGTAGACCTAAAAAAGTCAGACGATGGCTCTTTATGTGTTTGCCCCTTAAACCTAATTTTGCAGCATATAGACAGTCTGATTCAGAAATTTGTGTATGTCTACGGGTGTCTTGGAGTACATAACCCTCGTCATCGTGTTGCCGTTAAGTATCATTAACGTTCTGCATTGTTTCATCAATTTAATACCTCCCATGATCTTCCACACTGGATATTTGTGCATGTCACGATTGTATTAAACGAAGAGTGTCTTAAACAACAGCCCAAGCGAATACAGGTTATGAGAGTTTTACTCATTTTTATGTATGGGGGCATATCAAATCCGAATACAGTTCATTGAAAGAGATGACTCATGGTAGAAGAATTCAGGTAGATGCATCAACGCTTGGGTACATTGATATGTCAAAATATTTCAAAACTAAGTAGATTGTTTTATATGTTTTCTTATACAACGTCCTTCGGAGGCTATTATAATAGGCGTTTATCAGTAATTTTAAATAAATTTTCATTCAACATTTTCAATTTCAAAATTGGTTTGACAGTTAATTGTCCCAGAAGCTGTGTTGATGCGTCTACTTATGTTTTTCTACCATGAGATGACTGACATGAAAACAGCATTACACTACACCTAAATTACTCATTTTACAACGTCATTTATATAAAAGAACAACTAATCGAGAGCTAAAGACGTGCTATGTAAACTTGGTATTAATTGATTTTCAACATGAGTCATTGCTTAAAGGTGAGAATATATAAAACGCTTCTTTGACTGCCTTAGGTCAACGGCTGGCTTCTTAGTAGATGAACAAATGAGGTTTAGATTGACTTAGGTCGATTTTGGCCCTACGATTCTTTGCTATTTTCCGAAGAGGCCAGCCGAAGAGTTAATCCAGTCAAAAAAAAGCGTTTTATGTATTGTCACCTTTATTGAACGCCAATTCGCTTACATTATCTTAATATTGTAACATGCTGTAATGTGAGAACACTTAGAACAAATTTTATATTGGCTTAAAGTTGAGAATACATGATACTATTTTTAAATAGCTTAAGTCATCGGCTGGCTTCTTCGTAGAGGAACAATGGAGTTTTAGGTTGACTTAATTCGATTTCCGACCATAAAATATGCTTGTGTACCCTATGGCTGGAAATACATAAAGCGCATATTTGGCTGGCTTAAGTCATCGGCTGGCTTCTTCGTAGATGAACAAAGGCCCTAGGCCCAAAATCGAACTAAGTCAACCTAAAACTCCTTTGTTCATTTACGAAGAAGCCAGCCAAATATGCGCTTTATGTATTTCCAGCCTATGCTCCTTTGTTCTTTCCCAAGAAGCCAGCTGATGATTTAAGTCAGTCAAAACAAGCGTGTTATATATTCTCACCTTTAAGGTGCACGTACATAAAGAGTTAAGCTGGGAATACATAAAGCGCTTATCTGGCTGGCTTAAGGCTGGAAATACATAAAGAGCATATTTGGCTGGCTTAAGTCATCGGCTGGCTTCTTCGGAAATGAACAAAGGAGCCTAGGGCCAAAATCGAACTAATTCAACCTAAAACTCATTTGTTCCTCTACGAAGAAGCCAGCCGATGACTTAAGCCAGCCAAATATGCGCTTTATGTATTCCCACCCTTAAGCTGCAAGTACATAAGAAGCTTGAAGTCATGGCTAGGCATATTTTGTATTTCATAAAGGGAGTACAGAGTCGCACTAAAATTTCATCGGCTGGCTTCTTCGTAGAGGAACAAATGAGTTTTAGGTTGAATTAGTTCGATTTTGGCCCTAGGCTCCTTTGTTCATTTCCGAAAAAGCCAGCCGATGACTTAAGCCAGCCAAATATGTTCTTTATGTATTTGCAGCCTTAAGTCAGCCAAAGAAGCCTTTTATGTATTCTCACCTTCAGGATGAGAATACATGGAAGATGTTTTTTTTACTGGTTTAAGTTAATTTCCACCGATAATTTATACTTGCTCACCCTACACTCCATTTTTCTTTTACATAAAAGCCAGAAACTTGTTCTATATTCTTTACAATTTCCACGAGTACAGGAACAGGTTTCTAGAAAATATTATTAAAATTGTAAATGTGGTTAAGGTAAGAATACATAAAAGGTGAGAATACTTAAAACGTTTTTTTTTTTGATTGGTATCTTCGGAAAAGAACAAAGGAGCGTAGGGCCAAAATCGAACTAAGTCAACCTAAAACTCCTTTGTTCCTCTACGAAGAAGCCAGTCGAGTCCAAAAAGCGTTTTATGTTTTCTCAACTTTAGCAGTTGAGATCATCATTTGACAAATTTAACACCCCTAGCTAATCCTGACGTACGTCTTCGACGTTTTTACCACAGGTCTTAGGCTGGAAATACATAAAGAGTATATTTGGCTGGCTTCTTCGGAAATGAACAAAGGAGCCTAGGCCCAAAATCGAACTAAGTCAACCTAAAACTCCTTTGTTCATCTACGAAGAAGCCAGCCGGTGACTTAAGCCAGCCAAATAGGCTCTTTATGTATTTCCAGCCTTAGGCTGGAAATACATAAAGAGCATATTTGGTTGGCCAGCCGATGACTTAAGCTAGCCAGATAAGCGCTTTATGTATTCTCAGCTTTAAACACATTTATTTAATACGAAAACTACCGAAGTGATCAATTTTGACATTCACAGAACTTTTTTTTGTCAATTGGCAATAATCAGACGACATTTTTGACATAACCGGCAGTCGTACCCCGACCATTCTCTACTGACTTTACAAAACACTCCGTCCATTCGATTCATTTTGTATTTGGAAACCCAACACAATCTTATTGGACACACTGTACGACTACAGATCTCACACTTTTGGATCAGAAAACCAAAATAAACAATGGTCAGTCGGTTATTAACTCACCATTGAGCAGGTCAGCGTTGTGGCATTTTTGTTTCGTGCAGCTGTAGCTAAATTGGTCATTCGTTATTTTTGGCATCGTCACAAATTTTCGTATTGAATTCGTAATCGAAGTGAAATTATCTGTTAAGTCAAAGAAAATAAAAACAACAACATAATGCATGCATTTCCGGAGGTGTGGTCAAGATCAATTAAAATAGCATTCATATTTATTGTGCTGAATATAATTTTGACAAATGGTAAACAAAAAACCAATAGCATGGAATCTAATCTAAAGTACCCCAGCTATTGTCAGAGATTTATTTGTTTAATGCCGGCTTTATTCACATATGTTTGTGTGTGTCTGTGGTTTTGTTTTCATTCATTTAGTTTATGTACCAGTGGCGTGTGCTCCTCCTGAGTCTAGAGAGGTGAATGGCACTACCGATGACGTTTGTGTTCATACGCTAAAGGCACCATCCGGCTTCTTTAAACGTCACTTTGATAAATCATTTTTAAAGAAATTCTTCAAACACTGGATACCGTTTGTCAGCAATGATCGCGTCAAAATGCAATTCTTTCTTTATAAACGTGACTTTCCCGAATGTGGTCGTGAAATAGTTACAGACGATGTTGATAGTGTTACGCGGTCAGGTTTCAATGCTGATCATCCAACGCGGTAAGTTTTGATATTTAGATAAAAAATGTATGCATGTGCGAACTTTCAGTGAAAATGTGTGAATCCAAAGGCTGTTGGCACAAAACACTTAATTTGTGTGGATTAATAAAAACAATTAAAACCATGATACAATTATATACAAAAAAGGGCAAATTCATCAAATCTAAAAAAACAACAGAAATTAATTACTAACACATAAAAGCTAATATTAAATGCAAACATTTTTTGTGTTTACTTGACACACTTTTACACCTTTTCAATTTAAGAAAACGAAAAAGCGCGAAAAAATAATATCAAGTCTCTAAAATGATAAAAATGTTGTTTTGTCCCAAACAAACGTTGTTTTAATTTCAGTTTCAAATTTTAATTTCGATTTGAAAATATTCGAAATAATCATGGTAGAACTAAGAAGGTAAAGTCATGTAATCATATGTTTACAATTTTTTCAAATATATACATTTGACAACATCTCATTGTCAAAATTTATATTCGTAAATCCATTGTATACACACAAAATCAGAGATGGGAACTGTTTTTTATGCATTGAAATTTGACAACGTAAATTACAGAAAATACAGAGCTGGGAATGTTAATTTGAAATGAGGTTACCTTTATTTCATTGTACCAGGAAATAATTTACTACATGATAAAGAAGATAAGGTGAGAGTGTATAAAAGGCATTTCTGACTGGCTTAAGTTTTCGTAGAGGAACAAAAGTGTTTAAGGTTGACTTTGTTCGACTTTGGCCCTTCGCTCCTTTGTTTTTTTTTCCGAAGAAAACAGACGATGACTTAAGCTGGGAAACATAAAGCGCTTATTTGGCTGGCGTAAGTCATCGGCTGGCTTCTTTGTAGAGGAACAAAGGAGTTTTAGGTTTAGGCCCTAGGCTCCTTTGTTCATTTCCGAAGAAGCCAGCCGATGACTTAAGCCAGTCAAAAAAGCGTTTTATGTATTCTCACATTTACAGTTGTGGAATAGGCCAATATAACATTTTATGGACGATTTTTTAACGCAAATTTAATATTATATATATTTTTACGCAACAAAAAAAAAAAACAACACTTTTGGTCAAATCATATTTTTTGGTGAACATAGGGTTCGCTGTGATTGAAAAAATTCGTATGTACTTATGTATTTTTTATTTTTATTTGATTTTAGATTATAATAAGCAATATTATAAAGATGACTTAGGCCATTCAAAAGAGCTCTTTATGTACTTGCACCTTTAAGTCATCGGCTGTTTTTTTTAGTAAAAGAACAAAGGAGGTTGACTTAGTTCAATTTTTGCCCATAATTCATATTTATCCTCCCTCCTTTGTTCTTTTGCAAAGAAGCCTGTCGATGATTGTAAGGTGAGAATAAATAAAACGCTTTCTTACTGGCTTAAGCCAGCATATTTGGCTGGCTTAAGTCATCGGCTGGCTTCTTCGTAAATGAACAAAGGAGTTTTAGGTTGACCTAGTTCGACTTTGGCCCTTCGCTTCTTTGTTTTTTTTTTTTCGAAGAAAACAGACGATGACTTAAGCTGGGAAACATAAAGCGCTTATTTGGCTGGCGTAAGTCATCGGCTGGCTTCTTTGTAGAGGAACAAAGGAGTTTTAGGTTTAGGCCCTAGGCTCCTTTGTTCATTTCCGAAGAAGCCAGCCGATGACTTAAGCCAGTCAAATAAGCGCTTTATGCATTCCCACCCTTAGGTCATTCAATAAAGCCTTTTATGTATTCTGACCCATAGGACATATTTTAAATTATGGACGGAAATTGAACTAAGTCAACCCAAAACTCCTTTGTTCTTTTACGAAAAAAAAACAAACAGATGATTTATGCCAGAAAAACATTCTTCTATGTATTATCACCTTAATAGCACGTTTATATTGTTGAATATTAATTAGTTAACCTTGTGTATTAGATACACCTTAAGTTGAGAATACATAAAACACTTTTTGACTGGCTTAACCCATCGACTGGCTTCTTCGTAAAGGAACAAAAGAGTTTCAGAAAAAGTTCAATTTCGGCCCATAATTTATACTTGTTCACTCTACACATCTTCCAGGCAGCCGATAACTATAGGTGAGAATACACAAAGCGCTTATTTGGCTGGCTCAAAGGTGGGAATACATAAAACGCTTATTTGGCTGGCTTAAGTCATCGGCTGGCTTCTCCGGAAATGAACCTTAAGCAGGTGTGCTCAAAACCGTGTTCTAGAACATGAAGAGAAAAAAGAGATAATTTAAGAGAAAATTAAAATTCTGTTTTTCTTTATATTTTACGGTTCTATTTAATTGTTTTTAAACACGAATGTTTGCCAAAATAATTTATAAAACAAATGGATACAAAATATTTGCATAAATAATGACTTAACACTGTTTTGTTCTTGATTTAAATAAGCAAAGAGACATTTGACTGAAAACAGATATTTCTTCTTGAGCACCCCTGACCTTAAGTCATCGGTCGGCTTCTTCGTAAAAGAAGAAAAAGGTTTAAGATTGACTTTTTGTGAGAGTTAAGAGTACATAAAATGCTTTTTTAACACGCTTAAGTCATCGGCTGGCTTCTTAGTGGAGGAACAAGAGATTTTTAGAAAGACTTCGTTCAATTTTTGCCACCCGCTTCTTTGTTCTTTTCCAAAGAAGTAGCCGATGACTTAAGCCAGTCAAAAAAGCGTTTTATGTATTCCCACCTTAAGAGGAAACTGGACTAAAAAATTAAATTTCCAGTAATATTTTGTTAAATTATTACGAAATATCGAGTTAAAAAAATACACATAATGTCAAACTATGTACGTTATTCATAATTTAGATCGGCATCAATGCAATGACATTTCATTGTACAAATGTAATCGGCTACGGTAATTTGTTAGTGATCCCAGTTCATTGATAACACAGTGTACGAGGAAATACAATATACATTTCCCGCATATGTCTGTTAATGCATTATGCGGCAGTTGTTTGTGTAGCTTATGAATGGAATAAAAAGTGCAAGTTCAAGCCGCTCAACATTGACTGGCGTTGATGATGAAAGTGAAATGCATTTGAGCCTTATCAGTGTAGAAAAAAAGAAAAAAGTTAATTTAATAGACAAAATGCCATGTTTACGTTAGAACTTTTTGTAGGGTTAACCTACTTTGAGAGGATTTATTTGAAGTAAAAGTAATGGATATGACAATTTAAATCCAAATCCAGTGGGTTAACCCTCATATATATAAACGTACTATAAACTCGAGAAAAAATACACTTATGAGATTCGGATACACATGTTTCTATATATTATAAATCAGTTGTATATACATATTACATATCATGTATGTATAAAACATATTAGAGATGGGGACATTTTGCAATGAAGTTAAAGGTCATGGTAGAAGAATACAGGTATATGCATCAACTCTTAGCAACATTGATATGTCAATTTTTTTTTAAAAAAATTAATCAAAAATAAGTATTTTTTTATATGCTTTCTTATACGAAGCCAATCGGAGGTTATAATCATATGCATTTTCCAAAAGATTTTACAAATTTCAATAATTTTTCATTGAAAATTTCCAATTCCAAAATTGTTTTGGCAGTTCATTGTCCCAGGAGCTGAGTTGATGCGACTACCTGTATTATTTTACCATGTTAAAGGTACAGCTACATAAAGAGCTTTTTTTTGGCGTATAGGTGAAAACACATAGAAACAGTTTTTACTGCCTTAAGGTGAGAATACATACATACGCTTTTTGACTGGCTTAAGTTATCGGCTGGAACAAGTTATCGTAGAGGAACAAAGGATTTTTAGGTTGACTTAGTTTGATTTTAGCCTTACGCTTCTTTTTTCTTTTCCGAGGAGTCCGAGGAGGAGCGATGACTTAAGCCAGTCAAAAAAGTGTTTTATGTACGCTCACCCTTATATTGACGTGTTCCAGAACTGCAAGAATGTAAACGTTTTTACTACTATAACCAATTCTTGCAGGTTCTGGAACAAGGCAAATATATGCTCTGTTCCAGAATTGCTAAAATATGAAAAATTTGACTACGATAACCGATTTTCCATTTATGATATCGAAAAAAAATTGCAAAATTATTGGATAATTGCATAAGGTCTGTTCCAGAGCTGCAAGAAAATAAAAGTTTTAACTAAGATACCCGATTTTCCCTTTATAATATCGAAGAAAATTGCAAAATTAGTAGATTCTTGCAGGTACTGGAACAGAGCAATATTCTTATTCGATAACATAAAGGGAAAATCAGTTATTGTAGTATACATTTTTAATTTTTTGCAGATCTGGAACAGACGAAATATCTCTTCATGAGCTTGCATTTTTTATGGCTTTAATTAATGCTTTAATTGAATTTTCATAATTTTTTATCTTACAGAATTATCATTCATGGCTGGATGAGTCAAAGTAAAGGATCTTTTAACAGAGCTGTCAAAAATGCTTACATGTCGCTAGCACGGCCAACAATTTATTACAACATCAGCAGCGAAATGACACCATTTCACCATTGAGTCACCTCGAGGCATACAATGTAACGGGTCCAATATTAGATAGTAACGATGGCAACGACACAGATTTCAATGTAATAGTCGTCGATTGGAGTGTTATCTCTTCGAATGTAAATTACTTTGGAGTGGTTGACTTAATAGAAGACTTGGGATTCCTCCTCGCGGAATTCATGAGATTTTTACACTTGAAAGAAAATTTATATTTTGGTGATGTATATCTAATTGGACATTCATTGGGCGCACAAATAGCTGGTAGTGCTGGCAAACAAATTCATCCATTTCGCATAAATACCATATTCGCTTTGGACCCGGCGGGGCCGAAATTTCGTGATATCAATGATAATAAGCGCCTTGATCCTTCCGATGCAGATTATGTGGAATCGATTCAGACAAGCAGCAGTTTGGGTTTTGAAGATCCAGTTGGCCATGCAACTTTTTACCCCAACTTTGGCAAAGATCAGAAGAAATGCTATATATATGGCTGCTCCCATTCTAGAGCTTATAATTATTTTGCCGAATCCATTACGAGTGAGAAAGGTTTTTGGGGTACATTGTGTCAGAGGCAGTCGGATAAAGAATGGATCTTATCGACATCTGGTGTGGAGTTTAAAATGGGCGGAGAACCGTCAACGCCGAAAAGAGGTACCTTCTACGTTAAAACTAATGGTGAACCACCTTATGCCTTGGGCCGTCGAAAACCAAAAGAGACAAATGAAAATCTAGAAACTAATAATGATGTACTTTAATTTTTTTTTTAGATTTTTTTTAAATTTAGTTATGGACGAGTAACACATACGAGTATTCATTAATTTATTTTAGAATAATATACTTTAATGCTATGTTTACTTTAGAACTTTTTCTAGGGTTAACCTAGTTTAAGAGGATTTATATGAAGTATAAAGGTGAGAATACGTAAAACGCTTTTTTGACTGGATTAAGTCATCGACTGGCGTCTTCGGAACTAAAATCGAACTAAGTCAAACTGAAGCTCTTTTGTTCATAGAAGTATAAAGATGGGACAAGACAGAGCCAAGATATGGCAACCCTGTGAAAATACCTCTGTTGTTATGATATCGTAACAACATAGTTACACTGCCTTTACACGGTGACATTTTTTAACCATGCCATTTTTTTTGTTGGTAAAAGGTGTTGAGAGACAAGGATAGAAGAAAAAATGGCACGATAAGCCACCGCATAGGGTTTCATGCCATTTTCTTTGCATTTCTCTTTTTGCTTCTTCCAATTTTTTATGATTTTGACATTTCATATCGTTTCTTTATTGTAATTTTTGATGCGTTTCTTTTATTGTGATGTGATGTTTTTAGTGATTGAATTGTATAATGAATTATATGAAAATTAATTGGAAGTATTAAAAAGTAAAAAAAGAAAGTTAAAATAAAAGTTAATAATGCAATATTTAACACCTCAATAACTTTTTCCATCATTTCTTCTTTAGATTCACACATTTAATTTTAAATCACTTCTTTATAAATATCTGTTACAAACAATTAGCTCTATACGAAATACTGAATAAAATAAAATGTCAGAAAAAATGCCAAGCACTATTATCGTAAAATGCCACCGTGTAAAGGCGCGAATATTTACGCAGAAATTTTAAAAGAGAATTGATAAAAATGCCAGCTAAAAATTGCACCGTGTAAAGGCAGTGATAGTTAGCAATGTTATGCGATTTAAACCGCTTAGGCAATTTGCAATTAATTTAGAAAGTCTATGGAATAGAATTTTGAAACCCAATTTTTGGATTTTGAAACCCAAAATTTGGATATATATTTGGTAAATATGTTGTTATGATGTCATAACAACAGAGGTATTTTCACAGGGTTGCCATATTTTGACTCTATCTTTTCCTGCTTTTATTTTTTTGTATTTGCTTTGTTCCTCAATGGAGAAGCCTGCCGACGACTCAAGCCTGTTAAAAAGCGTTTTATGTATTCCCACCTTAAGTAATGGATATTACAATTTAAATCCAAATCCAGTGGGTTAACCCATTTATATGTAAACGTACTGTAACAATATGTAAAACTTGAATTTCCAATTCAAAAAGACATTTCCTTGGTCTTATCTTAAATGACGTTGAGAAAATAAAAGTCTCAAGTAACGAACATACTAATCTCTGTGAATGACAGTTAATTTAAATAGCATGTAAATCACGAAATCGCTATGGAATATAATGCAAAAAATTACACGACTAGATGGTTTACGTAGATGACAAAGTTATTCGGATTTTAAATACATTTGACGCAATTTATTATACATAGCACATCAATGACACAATTTGATTTCCTATTCACACACTATAAATAAAAATTATTTTCACTCATACATTCCAATTTTGAGATTTTATTTTCTATTTTTTTTTTTTTTTGGTTATGTGGGTAAAAATGACATCAGATGAATATACAAGGTGCATTTATAGACCAGAAGTGCGATTCTCTAAAGCAAGCTTTTTACTGGCATAAATCATTGGTTTGCTTTTTCGTAAAAGAACAAAGAGGTTTTAGGTTGACATAGTTCAGTTCCGGCCCGTTATTTATACTTTTTATTTTACGAAGAAACCAGCCGATGATTTAACGTGAGACTACATGAAAGGAGTTTTTGTCATCGGCTGGATTCTTTATAAAAAAAAAACAAATGAGGGAACTGTACCCTACACAATTATAAATTAAACTAAGTGAACCTAAAACTTCTTTACTCTTTTACGAAGAAACCAGTCAAAAAGCGTTTTTTGTATTCTCACCTTGAAGTGAGTAAAATAAAGGTGAGAATACATAAAATGTTTTTTCGACTGTCTTAATTAATTGGCTGGCTTTTTCGTAGAAGAATAAAGGAGCGTAGGGTCGAAATTGAACTAAGTCAACCTAAAACTTTATTGTCGTTTTATATATTCTCAACTTAAAACGTCTATGAACCTGCATCCATGGGACAATAATTGCAAGGTAGGGCAGAATCATGGTAAAATTAAGAAGTTAAAGTCGTTTCATATAAGCTTTCCCATAGTTTTTCCACATTATTCCATATCTCTTAAAAGTTATACAATTTTTTAAGTTTTTAGCGAATAACGAGTGTACGTTGAAATTCGTTATGTATGGACAAACAATTATGCAAAGTGAGCACAACTCAGCACATATACTTGTTTTTTTTTTTTTTTTTTTTTTTTTTTGAAAAGGTCCTTTTATCGAAATTGCCATATCTAGAAAACGGTTAAAGATATTGAGTAAAATAAGCAGCACAAATAAAACAAAACCCAGCACAGCTGTTTTAGTTTTTCGAAAATTACAATTCAAACGAACATCACATCATGTTAGAGAAACTCACAATGGCGTTGAGTCATTTTACGCGCTAAATATGATCGATAAACAATAGTCAATAAAATAAACCCATTTCTCTGTGGTTGTTCTATCTATTATATATATATATATATATATATATATATATATATATATATATATATATATATATATATATATATAAGATAACTTTTCCAGCAAAAATACTCAATTACCTCTTCTGAGAGAATTTTCCCTCTGGTTATCAGTTATCGAACAACATTTAGTCAAATTTTGCAAGAAAACAGCTGTTTCCCAAAAAGGCGACACAACCAAATCAAAGTGTTAATTTTTATGGTGCATGATTAGTACTTTCATGTTATAATAAAACGTTTATTATCTAAAAATTAATTAATTTATCGCCTGAAATGTCCAAAATTTTTGGTATGCGATCAACATTTTGTATCAAATATTACAAAATATTGATGCGTAAAATGACTAAACTTCGCAATAGTCATGGTGTAATCTTGGCTCAATAAGAAGGTTGCTCATCTTCAAAGAAATTAGGAAAATACAACTCTGTGCTGGAGTCTTATAGTGCCGAATAGACTTTTAAATATGCAACAGTAGGCTTTGTTTATTTTTAATTTTATAACAAAATTCTTATATTGGGAAAACCCGCGAAACAAGAATGGAATTTTGGGGTTATTTCACGAGATAGAATCTAAAATAGTAGGACAATACAGTTTTATCACAAAATTGTACAATTTGTTACCCATTTACGTCGAAAATTTGCATTTATTTTGCAAACAAATTTGAAATAATTTGAAATTATTGTATATTTTATTCAAAACAATACACACACATATACAAAATGTGTATATGTTTTGACATAATAAGGGCACCAAAAGAAAACAATTGTATTTGAGCGGTAGCTTTGTTCTACCTTCTGTAACTGTGCCATGGGTACAATGAAATAAAGATAACCTTATTTCCAAATATTATTCCCAGCTCTGAATTTTCTGTAATTTAAATTTAAATTTCATTGCATAAAAGCAGTTCCCATCTCTGATTTTGTGTGTATATAATGGATGTATGAAAATAGATTTTGACAATGAGATGTTGTCAAATGTCTAAATTTGAAAATTTGTAAACATATGATTACGTGACTTTACCTTTGTAGTTCTATCCTATTCATAGTTGTTAAGGGAAAAAAGCTACAGAACAAATTGTGCTCTTTAGTTCAATTCTCTAACTTTTTTAAATTAACCGACAGATATCGGCAAAGTTAAAACGCAAAATTATAAATGAAAATTATAAAAATAACGTTCACATCACTGCCTCACTGTCTTTATAAAATATATTTTACGTATTTGATCTTTCTAACATGTTTTTTTTTTTTTTTTGTTATTTTTAATGTTAACTCTTAACCACCGGATATAAATTATCTATTTCCTTTGCATCCTTTTATCCTTTTTAAACACCATATACCTCAAAACATTTCTAATTGGATAATTTTCTTGTTTGGAAATATATTTCCATCTGGCAATACCACATACACTGAACACACCCCATTGAAATGTACGTGGCAAAATGTCAAATTACTCGAATGACAGTTGACCAAAATTATCGTAGAGAAAACATTAATCGAAATCGATATTGTATGCAAAAAAGAAAATTTGGTCTGCTCTGACGGTCTGACGTGGAAGAGTTGAAAGAAAATTTGTTTTTTCAATACAGAAAGAAATAAATATACTTTCTTAAGCCTGTTTGCATCATAAATTGTTGGAAATTGTTGCGTGTCCATTGTCAGATAAATAAAAGTCATAAAAGTGTAGCCAAAAAGTCCACGAAATAATAAATAAGGGCAGAAAAAGAGTCATTGCAACTGAGGTGTTTTGGTGTTTACGTGTTATACTGTGTGAATCCAGAGAACGAACGACGAAACGAGGATCAACGGGCAAAAGTGAAGAAAAAATATTGAAGTTTTCGGTTTATCGAAGAAATAAAGTGAAAAGTTTATGCTGTTGAGAAAATTGTGGAAAAAATATTAATTAGAATATTGAAAAAATGATGAACCCTAATGCATATTGTCCTCCGCCAACAATGCAACCACCACCGCAGCAAATGATGCCACCTCCTGGTGGTGTACCTACTCAGCAGCAATATCCCCCAACCGGCTGGCCCGCTCAACAACCTGGCCCTCCCTCATCAATGCCTGGTCAAATGCCACCACCTATGCAACAAGCAGGTCCTCCTCAACAGCAGCAACCGCCTCAACCCAATATTATGAATGGAAATTATCAACAGCAGGTTTGTTCGACTTACTTTCAAATGTACAAAGATCGATGACATGGTGTAGTTGTGGAGACATTGTTTGCACTTCTCTTTATTGTCGCTTTTCTATGTTTCTATGTTTATACGTCTATGGGTTCATATTTCTCAAATGGTTTTGTTGTTATTATTTGTTTTATACGATTTCTTTATCAAACTTCCGTTTTCATGAGACTACGTAATGAGTATAAGCTTTTGGTTCAATCTGAACATCTTAGTCATTATCATAATCTTCAGATGACAAGCGTAGATGAAAATTGTCTTGCATTTCCAATAAGAAAATAAAAAAGAAACAAAAACAATTGTACGGGTGTAGTGTGATAAGATCAGTTGTACATACCAATGAATGTAGGTCATTTGGTTGGAAGAATAATTCCATAGGCTAAATTACATTAGAAACAAACATTGTTAATATTTATTTTTTTAGGGACCACTAACCAAAAAGAAAAGACCACTTAAATGTATTTTTTAATTTGCTTAGAATGTATTAACAGCTTTAGGGTCCATTAGAGGTTTAGGACAACTCGTAGAAAGGTATTCTATCACGATGAATACTATAAATTAGTTGGAAATTGAACTCTGATAAGTTATATATCTGCAACTGAATACCATCACTACCCAAGACAAGACAATGGGACCATGTTGCCGTGAAAATGTGTATAAAACTATATGTTATTTCATTTCAGTTAACACAATCGATGGGCAGCATGAATTTGAATCCTAACAAGCAAACACCTGGCCCACAAGCATTCAACAACGCAAACATGCCACCACCCCCATCAATGGGAGGGCCAGTACCACCCCAGCAACAAACCCTAACAAATGGACCACCTCCAATGGGCGGCGGTGCTCCACCTACATCTATGGCCCCGACCACAAACAATAATAATAATTTTCCATCGTATCCCAATGGACCATCATCTCGGCCACCGACAGCTGGTACACCAGGTCTTCAACAGGGACAAATTGGTCAAAATCTTCCACCAGCTCAAAACATTCCTGGTCCTGGCAATCAAATGACTGTAAATAGTGCAAACTTGCCGGGTTTGCCACATATGCCACCACCACAACAGCAGCAGCAACAACAACAAACTCAAAAACCTGTGGTATGTTTTTCTTTGTTGTAGCTTGCATTTGAATACTGTAATTTCACTTTTGTTGTATTTACATTAGCAATCGATGCCACCAATGCCAGGTCAACAACAAGGCAATCAGGGTTATCCCGGTGGACAATCCCAAATGCCACCTAGGCCTGGACAACCACCAATGCCGGGTCAACAACAATCTGGTATGCCTCCCATGCCTGGCCAACAACAATCTGGTATGCCTCCCATGCCTGGCCAACAACAACCTGGTATGCCACCCATGCCGGGTCAACAACAACCCGGTATGCCTCCCATGCCTGGTCAACAACAACCCGGTATGCCTCCCATGCCTGGACAGCAACAACCTGGTATGCCTCCCATGCCTGGCCAACAACAACCCGGTATGCCACCCATGCCTGGCCAACAACAACCCGGTATGCCACCCATGCCTGGTCAACAACAACCCGGTATGCCTCCCATGCCCGGCCAACAACAACCCGGTATGCCTCCTATGCCAGGTCAACAGTCATTTGGTATGCCACCCATGCCTGGCCAACAGCAAGCAGCATATCCTGGCCAACAGCCAGGTGGAATACCTGGATATCCATCCCAACAACCTGGGCAACCACCAATGCCAGGTCAACCTCCCATGCCAGGTGGCTATCCCGGCCAACAACCGATGCCAGGAAGACCCGGTTTTAATGTAAGTTAACTCCACTAGAAAATGTTGTGCCTTACTCATCACATTTTTCCTTCCTTTCCCTTAGCAACCAGCCGGTGGTATGTATCAACAGCCACAACAACAATTCCAACAACAAAGACGTCTCGATCCCGATCAAATGCCAAATCCCATACAAGTTATGACTGAAAATCAACGTAATGCTGGCGGTGCTTTTGTTACCAATCAAGCTGGTCTATTGCCACCATTGGTGACCACCAAATATGTGGTCCAAGATCAAGGCAATTCATCACCAAGATTTATAAGATCATCGCTCTATTGTGTCCCGGCCACAGCGGATACGCTAAAAACTACTGCTCTTCCGTTTTCATTGATAGTATCACCCTTTGCTCGCATTGCCGAGGGTGAATACGAACCGCCAATTGTTGATTTTGGTGCTTTGGGGCCAATACGTTGTAATCGTTGCAAAGCCTACATGTCGCCCAATATGCAGTTTGTCGATGCTGGACGTCGTTTCCAATGCTTAATGTGTAAAGTTAGCACTGAAGGTAAGTTTGAAGGCGTGGTTTTAGTTCCGATGATAAATTGTGGTTTCTATTACAGTACCAACGGAATATTTCCAACATTTGGATCATACTGGCCAGCGTGTTGATAAGTATGAGCGGCCTGAATTGGTTTTGGGCACCTATGAATTTTTGGCTACCAAGGATTATTGTAGAGTAAGTTTGTGTTCGCTATTAATGTGGTCGATGGCATATTTTACTTTATTTTAATTTCCATGCAGAATAATACTCCCCCGGAAATTCCAGCATTTATCTTTGTCATTGATGTTTCGTATAATACCATCAAATCTGGATTGGTCCATCTATTGTGTTCCCAAATCAAGAATATATTGAAAAATCTACCCATTGATCAGGGTCAAGATAAATCGAAAATGCGTGTAGGTTTCATAACCTACAATAGCACTGTTCATTTCTACAACATCAAGAGCAGTTTGGCCCAGCCACAAATGATGGTGGTTGGTGATGTACATGTAAGTCGCGATAAGTAATGTTTTATCTGTATAAAAATAACGCAATATTTGTAGGACATGTTCATGCCTTTGTTGGATGGCTTCTTGTGTAACCCCGAAGAATCGGAAGCTGTCATTGATGCTTTAATGGAACAAATTCCCAAAATGTTTGTCGACACCAAGGAAACCGAAACAATATTATATCCAGCCATCCAGGCGGGTCTGGAAGCCTTGAAGGCATCTAATTGTGCTGGCAAACTATTGGTGTTCAATTCCACATTGCCAATTGCAGAAGCACCGGGAAAACTAAAGAATCGTGATGACCGTAAACTTTTGGGAACAGAAAAAGAGAAAACCGTTCTCATACCCCAATGTCAGTCGTACAATAATCTGGGACAGGAGTGTGTGCAAAATGGTTGTTCAGTGGATTTGTTCTTGTTTAATAATTCATACATTGACATTGCAACAATTGGACAGGTGGCCCGATTGACGGGTGGTGAAGTTTATAAATACACATATTTCCAGGTATGAACCAAATTGCTTCTCATTTTTTCAATTCCTAATGTCTTTAATTTGTGGATTTTGCTTTACAGGCTGACATTGATGGCAAGCGTTTAATTGAAGATGTTATTAAGAACGTGTCCCGACCAATTGCCTTTGATGCTGTTATGCGTGTACGTACTTCGGCTGGTGTTAGGGCCACCGATTTCTATGGTCACTTCTTTATGACAAATACAACGGATGTGGAGTTGGCCAGTGTCGGTAAGTAGTTAGCATGTTTTTAAAGAAACTCTTAACTGAAATAATTCCCTCCTACAGATTGCAACAAGTCAATTGCCATTGAAATCAAGCATGATGATAAGTTGCCGCCCGAGGAAAATGTGTATCTACAGATTGCTCTTCTCTATACATCCTGCAGTGGCCAACGACGTTTGCGTATTCTCAACTTGGGCCTTAAAGCTACCACCACAATTGCCGAAGTCTTTAAGAGTTGTGATCTAGATGCCATCATGTTGTTCTTTGCCAAGCAAGCATGTTTCAAACTCATGGAACTTACACCGAAGGCTGTCAAAGATAATCTCATTCATCGCTCTGCTCAGATTTTGGCATGTTATCGTAAACATTGTACCACACCATCGTCGGCTGGCCAGCTTATATTGCCGGAATGTTTGAAACTATTGCCTCTATATGTTTCATGTTTGCTCAAGAACGATGCAATTTCGGGTGGTTCCGACATGACCTTGGACGATCGTTCATATGTCATTCAATTTGTATTGTCAATGGATTTGAATACATCCGTGTCGTATTTGTATCCAAGATTTATACCCATACACAATGTGGATCCCGACGATACAGATTTGCCCATGTCAATTCGTTGTACACATGAAAAAATGGCCCCCGATGGTGCTTATATTTTGGAGAATGGTGTACATTTCTTTGTCTGGTTGGGTCAATCGTTGCCCCAGACATTCATACAGCCCTTGTTCGGTGTACAGTGTACACAACAGGTTAATGCTGAACGTTTTGCAATTACAGGAGATACACCACTGGCGAAAAGAGTTACCAATATTATTGAGAGGATTATGGGAGATCGTACACGTTATATGAGGGTAAGTAAGAGTCATAATAATTTACGAATTTCTACTAATTATTTATTTCATTCTCAGGTTACATGCGTTCGTCAAAACGACAAACTGGAAAGTGTATTCAGGCATTTCCTAATAGAAGATCGTGGCACTGATGGCTCCGCCAGCTATGTGGATTTCTTATGTCATATGCATAAGGAGATTAAAGAATTATTAAGTTAGCCCTTAGGTTTAAAAAGTAATGCAACGACTGCGGCCTCTGTGACATGCCGCAGCTATTCACAGAATCGTGCTCGTCTATCGCGTATAGCGCGTTCCAGGCGATGGTAAAGGAAGTTAAATAAACAAAAAGCATAATTTTCATTTTAAATTTACAAAACCAACAAAAGAAAACAAAACGTTACGTTATATGGTAATCAAAATAACACCAACAGCAACAACAACATTACATATTACAATAAACCGAAAGAAAAACACCAGAACAAGGTTTCTTTTTGTTTCCGATGCAATGCAATTCAATTGTTAAAAATCCAACACGTTTCGATAATTATATATTTTCCTTTTATATTATTCTATAATTGTTTATTTGCATTTCTTTCTTCATTGTGTGCGTGTGTATGGTCGTATGCGTGTGATTGATCACGACATGAAGAAACGAAGTAACGAAAAGTATATTTAAAAATACATTCGCTTTATCTTAGATATTTTTTTGTTTGCATAAAATATACACAACAATTCATAATTATTTGGTGTATTTTTACTTTATTTTCTTCTCTTCAAAATATATTTCAAATGCAAATGATGAGGATTTTATTACAAAGGCAATTATTTGTTGTACATTCTACATAAAAAAAAACTATTTTGATCTATCCCGGGAGCTTCTTAATTTAAGTTTAACTCAAATGGTGATCTGTTAATACCATGTTCTTCTTATCATCTTTGCATGTTTAAACATAATGACCGAATGTGGTTGGTTAAATTATTTTGTTTTTCTTACATTCTCTTGAAATTTATTGATTTTACCACCATGATTTGCAATAAAGTTCTTTAAAAGAATGTTAGCTTCAATTGGTTTTATTTTGAATTCTGATTCCACCTGTTTGTTCTTTTATTTTGTTTTCCCCTATATCAGTGGTATGTACTTTTTTTAGTTATATTACCCATACAAAATGGCAACACATACAATACATATATATACTGGAACAATCGTAAACATTTTTATCTTAGAAATTATGTAAAAACCTTAAAATTAATAAAAAAAAACATTTATCGAAAAAAATTAAATACATTTTTGGTCTGTTCCAGAACTGTAGGAATTTAAAAGTTTTTACTATGACAACCGATTTTCCCCGAAGAAAATTGCAAAACTAGTAGATTCTTGCAGGTTCTGGAACACAGCTTTTATTTGATACTCTGATTTACCCGACACAATAACATCTAAGCTTCGGCCGGCTATATGCATCGTATTGATTCAGAGCAAAAACATAGATTTGTCCCGGTGTGATGCAACGGAAGTGGGAAGGCAGGCTTCTTAGTTGTGATGGATACTAGGGATCTTATCCCGTCAAACGAATCCAACAGCAAGAACTCCCACGATACATAATAAAAGGAACATATCAAATGTCCAAACATCCTTGATGGGCATGTCTGTACAGGGTGAGATAAAAAAAAACTGTAACAAAGTCAAATGCCATAAATTTTACATCTTTATTTTAATTTTATTGAATGAAAGCAAAAAATGTCGGAAATTGCATCAAATTTTAGAATAAGTTTAGATTTGTTCGAATTGTTCACCTTTGGCACAAATTATGGCCTTCAAACGGCCAGTGAAACCGTTACATACTGCCCGAATGTTGCTCTGCGGCATTTTGGCCCATTCCCGGCGAAGCGCTTGCTTGAGGTGATCGACATTTTGGTATTTTTTAGTGCCAACCTTGCTTTCCATAATACTCCAGACACAATAGTCCAACGGATTGATATGCGGAGATTTTGGTGGCCATTGTGCGCTGCAAATGAAGCGAGGAATCTCATTTTGTAACCATTCTGGGGTGGCGCGTTCTGAGTGCGATGGAATATTTTCGCTATAATATTCGGCATTTATTCTGATGCCACTGTCGATTAAGACGAGCGGAGAGCGACTTTCGGCTGTTATGGCGGCCCACACCATCAGCATGGCCGGCGCTTAAGTTCTGGTGGCCAATCGAAGGTGCACATTTTCAGCTGATCTCTTTGCCAAACACGATCATTTTGTTTGTTTACAAACTGCTGGACAACGAATGTTTTCTCATCGGAGAAAACCAAATTCGGCAGTTCACCACTTTCGGCCAAGCGAAGCAACTCTTTGCTCTTTTGAGTCTATTTTCTTTCTGTTGCCGTGAGGATTCTTGCACTTTTTGGAAGATAAATGCCTTTACCCCGAGTTCTTTTTTCAATATTTTCCGAATGGCATATTGCTATATGTTCAGCTCACAAGCCATTTTTCGGCCACTGGCCGGGTTTCGTTCAAGTCGCTTTTTTACTTTTAGAACCATTTCTGCCTTTTTCTGTTGACTTCGTACTACGTTACCAGTATCACGGTCACATTTATATGCTGGTGTGCTCTAACGATAGCCACTTGTGGTTTTCAGGCGAAATATAAAGAGTTCAAATTATCACGCTTTAATTCCATCACGAATAACTTTTTTTCTGGAAAATACTCACCAAAATGCTTTTGTGCGCTTGTAAACAATATAATGAGCTGTCACTGGAATAATTTTAACAACTGTCGGACGAGTGGCTTCTCTTTGGAAAAAAACCGTCCAAGGACATTTGGGGTCGATCGAGCGGTGTAAAAGGGGTGGATGTAATACCGTAAAATGTTGTAGATATACCTTTGTGAGGTAACGTAAGCCTATCGTGGGCCTGTTCTATTAAAACGTTTTTCAATTCCTCTGGAACCCACATATTTTATAAAAGCTCTTGTGTTTCTGGGTTATTGGACGTGCGATTCATTTTAAGCACCATATTGTCGGCAATTTTAAGGTCTAGAACCTTTTTCTTATTCATTGCTAGTACTTCGCTATGTAATATATATGAATCGCATTTATAGTCGTTGGTTTCAAATTCGAGTATAGATTCATATCTATTTCGTCGGTATTGGATAGGTGAGATTAGCATATCGGTTACAATGTTTTCCTTCCCTTTTCGGTACTACTTACCTCTACATTGTTGAGTTTTTTTTACATGACACTATGGAATGTCGTTCGAAGTAATGCCTCGAAAGTCTTTTATATTTTCCATTATAACCTTTAAAAATCGAACTCAAAATAAATTAGCTTTTTTGTTTTTCCTTGTGATGTTTTATAAACAATAGTATTGAAATAAAAATAAAAAAACATACAATGCATTTAATGACTTAATTTAGAAATGAAAAAGAAAAGAAGGATACGATTATCAATTTTTCACTTCTTATATTTACTTTAATAAAGTGTTTTTTTTTTTTAATTTATATATTAAAGTATTTATGGTTATTAATTTTGCTTACTATCAAAACCTATATAAAACATTGTTGTCATTTTATGTTTGAATTAAATTTTAAAATATTTCTTGTTTTTATTAATTTATTATTTCACTGCACTCTACTTAATATGCATTATCATTCTTTTTTGTAACATTAAAGAAGTATGTGTGTGTGTGAGTGGGAGTATGTGTCGTGTGTGAATTTCTCTTAAATTTAGAAAAGAAAAATATATGTCACAGAAAAAAACAGGAGTTTTAGAGCTTCTTTTACATAAGTGGCATTGTCGTTTTTTTTTTTTGTTTGGAAAAAATATATTTTATATAAGTGTATATGTTTTGTTTGTTTGTTTGTTTTTTTTTCTTTATTTTTTTTTTTTTTGTATGTATATGTTGTTGTGTATATATAATTTCTTTTTTATTTTAATTTACTAATTAAAAACGTAAATTATAATATATGTATATATAGAGAAATATGTTAAACAAAAAAATGGAAAGAAAATAATATTAATTTGATTAAAAAAGAAGAATTTGATTTTATTTCGTAAAAGCCATAAAAACTGCCCAAAGAATTTCATTGGCATTCGGTTTTGCTGCCTCCGCTTCGAAATCCAGATCCAACAACTCTCTGACACGTTTCATGGCCACTTCGTAGTCGTCATCGTTAAGTGGGGCAAAGGCATTTTCAATGACATCACTGGCATGGGCCAGGAATATTAAAGCCAACATCCGTTTGTCCATGCGTTGCGCATCGTTGACCCATTTTGATAAAACAGAATCTTGAATCTAAATGAGGGAATAAAGATTACAAAAATTAGAGATTGCCAATACAAAATATGTCAATAAACTCGTTAATATATGCGAACAACTCTCCGTTTTTTCGTTAAATTAAAATGCTTAAAATTTCGGCAATTGACGAAATTTTTCGGTGAGTTAGAGACGAAAAGTAGTTGCCGAAAGATACCAATGTTGTCAACTTTAACTTCCTTTCTATACCCTCAGCCCTATGGCTAGATAGGGTATACAGGGTGAGATGGAAAAACTGCAACCAACTTCAGACTGCTGTCATTTCTAAGCCACTCGTCCGACAGCTGTTATAATTATTCTAGTGACAGCTTATTATACTGTTTACAAGCGTACAAAAGCATTTTAGTGAGAATTTTCCAGAAAAAAGTTATTTGTGATGGAATTCAAGCGTGATAGTGTTAGAGCATTAGAACACTCCAACATTTAAATGTGAATAAATCTTTGGTTTTTCGTACCATCACTCGTTACCGTGGTACTGGTAGCGTTGCCCGACGTCAAGGAAGTGAACGGAAGAAAACAGCAACATCAGCAGAAATGGTTCGAAAAGTAAAGAAGCGACTTGATCGAAAACCGCGTCCCAGTGGCGATAAATGCCTCGTAAGCTGAACAGAACATATCACAATATTCCATTCGGCAAATATTGAAAAATGAGCTCGGTTTAAAGCCATTGAAATTACAAAAAGTGCAAGAACTTACACCGCAACAGAAAGAAAATAGACTCAAAAGAGCTAAAGAGTTGCTTCGCTTGGCCGAAAGTGGTGAACTGCCGAATTTGGTTTTCTACGATGAGAAAACATTCGTTGTCCAGCAAAATGATCGTGTTTACTTGCCAAAGAGATCAGTTGAAAATGTGCACCTTCTGTTGGCCATTAGAACTCAAGCGCCGACCATGGTGATGGTGTGGGCCGCCATAACATCCGATGGTCGCTTTCCGCTCGTATTAATCGACCGTGGCATCAGAATAAATGCCGAATATCATCGCGAAAATATTCTGCAGGGTGTATCAAATCATTGGGCACGCAAACATTTTGGCCGCAGACCTTGGACATTTCAACAGGACTCAGCACCATCGCAAGCAGCACGCGCCAACCAAGAATGGTTACAAAATGAGGTTCCTCGCTTCATTTCCAGCGCACAATGGCCACCAAAATCTCCGAATATCAATCCGTTGGACTATTGTGTCTGGAGTATTATGGAAAGCAAGGTTGGCACTAAAAAATACCAAAGTGTCGATCACCTCAAGCAAGCGCTTCGCCGGGAAGGGTGTAAAATGCCGCAGAGCAACATTCGGGCAGCATGTGACGATTTCACTGGCCGTAACTTGTGCCAAAGGTGACCAATTCGAACAAATCTAAACTTATTCTATAATTTGGTTCTATTTCCGACATATTTTGCTTTTATTCAACAAAATTTAAAAAAAAAATGTAAAAATTATGGAGTTTGACTTTGTTGTGTTTAAAAGTTACCAATTTTTGTCGGATCCTCAAAAAATGAGTTAGAGAATCCCATTACTGAAATGAAAATGTAATTTGCTAATGAATTGGGTTTAAAAAACACTAATATAGTTGCATCCCACAACAATGTGAATTTCAGATCGATGGTATATTGATTTCTGCATTGCCTGAGCCTATGCAGATTTGCTTTGAAACAGTTATATCCAAATTGTCTTAATACAATTTAGTTTTTACTACTCCCCAAGAAAAGGGAAGTTATGTGGCATATGAAATTAATTAAAAGATTGCTTTATATCCTCCCCTTACTATAATTCAAAGTTGCTGCAAAAAGACCATTACTGTCGAATAAGATCCCTGGAAAAAAAAAAACTAAAATACTGGTTTTGTAAAGATGATCTTCAACAAAAGGCTTTAATTTCCCTCAAGTTGCCCACCAAACATAATTTAACGAAAAAACATCATAAAAATCATGATAAATTCTGCGAATACCCACCTTTCTCACCAAGCGACATTTGACCACATTATCACTGAGTGGATGTGTTGTCATATCGAATAATAGGAAATTTTGTTTCTCTGTTGTTAATACTCCCTTTTCGACCAGATTTTTAGCCAAACGTTCTCGTACATTTTTCAGTTGATAGCGTAATTTTAATGGATTCCAAGTTTCACCTTAAATTGATAAAACAAAAGAATAAAAAATAGGAAACCATGTATTTTATGAGGAGGGGACGTGATTGCACTTACCACTTAGATATTCAATCCAACTTTGTACCGTTTCGGGTGGATTTGTTTCTTTTATGTGCTTTAAGGCTTCATCTAATAGAACATCACCGGTTGGCTGATCCGATTTCAATATGACTTTTCTAAAAGTTTTAGTTATGAATGGGTCAAAAAAAGTTTATTTTGTTTCATATAATAAAAGGGGTTTGCTTCGTCATTTGAATTCACCTTGAACATAGTCCACGTCTGCGCATACCAGATTTTTCCATCATAATGCGACCTCGTAGTCCCAGCTCGATAAGAATGCAGCCGCGTAGGCCGCTCGATATGCAATCATTCCAAAACGATGTGTAACCCTGAAATGAAAAAAGGGAACATTTGATTTTTAATATGAATACTTCGAGGTTATACTCAATTTTGGAAGCAGATATTATTTTTTCCAATATCCTTTACAAGACAAAGAAATTTTGGTAGGATTTTTTGTTTAGTTTTCGTTATTTAAACAAAGCTATATCCCTAGATAGATGACGTTCCAAATAAACGTATGGAAAGGAGTTTCTATAAACGACTGAAACGAAGACTCTAAGGACGACCGGAAGGGAGTTACGATAGAGTATGAAACGTGAATAAAAGGAAGTCTATATGGACTTTTAAATGGGAATATATTTAGAAAACTCAAAGAGGGTGTATATAGACAACCATAAGGCTGTCTTCTGATAATAGATAATAACTGAAAGGAAAACTCTATAGACAACCAAAAGGAGTCGCAATTGGCAACTGAAGAAGTTTCTATAGACGACTTAAAATAATCTATAAAGGCGATTGAAAGGAAGGATAGGCGACTTACAAAAACTCTCAATATGCGACTGAAATTGGGTTTCTACAGACGACTATAACTTAGTATCAATGAACTTCTCCATAGTGAACTACTCCAGATGAACTACGAAGAACTATACCAAAAACGAAGACGTTAATTATTATTGCAAGTAATGTTAGAATAAAAAAAATGTCAAAAATACTTAGGTAATATGACTTGAACCTTTATATATGGTCTAAATCAACCAACCCACTATAACGCCCATGCAGGTATTGTAACGAAAGCATATAGATATGATGACGTACGGGAAGGACCTTCGCCTCCTAATATTGATGGTCTACTGGTGTCATGAAGAGGCGCCCCGACGCAGTTCTCAGAATATCAGTCTGGCAGGTCGGGATGGTCGTGCACTGCGTCTATTCGGAGATCACACTTGACCACAGACCGACCTCGCACCCCATGTGCTGCCGGCTAGCGCTTTGAGAAACTTGTTCCTACTTTTTATTTTGTCGCTGATAGCTGTGTCTTGCGAACATGTTGTCAAATGTGATCCGAAGCAGTTTGGAGTAGTTAGTGGTCGGAATTATGTGCCCCTCAGCTCTGTATGTCATATTTCTCGTGTGGAATTATGCGGAAAGCTCCACGAGATAGGTGTCCAACCTTACACATATGTCATCAACACAGGAACCCGATGATCTTTATGCAGTCTGGAGGGTGAGGAATTCCGGAAAGGTAGATGTTAAACAGTTCCGGAGATATCACCCCACCTTGGGGAACTCATTGTTTTAGTCTATGTGGCTTGGAGTTCTTATTCTGTCCACACGTCCATACATATAGTTGATTATCCAACGTTTCAAAATTAGCCATAGTTTTCTTTACATCCTCAAACAGCGTGGTGTGGTTGACTGCATTTAATGCTTTTAATAGGTCAAGAACTACCAACACTGTTCTATGACACGGCATGTTCTGATTTAATCCTCGACAGATATGTGTGGATATGGCGAGCAATCCTGTTGTGGATGGAATCCGTCTTAATGGTTAGTAATTGGATAACATCCACTGACTCTGGGGAGAAGAAAAGCCTCGAGAGTTTTTGCTATTGGCGACAAAAGTGAAATTGTACTGTATGATTCGCCTTCACCTGGTCTATTTCCAAGGGTTCGAGAACGATGTGGATGTTTAGCGACAGGATGAGAACTTTTATCACATACTCAACTCGCGGTGTATCCAGTTGTTTCAACATTGCCATTGAGATTTCGTCTGGGCCCAATACTTTGGATGACTATCTGTCGGGCTAGTGTGCATGATCACTCTCGAAGGGAGTATCCGATTTTATCCAAACTTGGCACATCGTAGTATTATTGTCAAACTTTAATAGAGTTCGCAGATGGGCAATATCGGTCCACTCCTTCTGGTACCTCTTCCATAAAATGTCAACATTTTCAAAAAAAAAAAATAATAATAATTTACTGCACAGAAAGAGAAAGGATAGTCCGAATTTTCTCCAACTTTGCAAATTATAATATTTGCGTCAGCTCTAGGTCACGTTCGAAAATGGACAATATAGGTCCCCTACATCAAATACCTCCCACACAAAGGTTCAATATTTTGAATAATTACAACTCTTATAAAATGTGATGTAAGAATCCGATTGTCTTCAAATTACGCTCATCCCAACATTTTTATTAACCCAAGGTCTGGTATAAAGATGGTAGAGATAGGATCATTCCTTCTGATACCTCCCCCACAAAGGGTCGAAATTTTAAATATCCATTGAGCTCATAAAACGTGAAGTTAATATCCGATTCCATTTAGTCTTGGCACATCTGAATATTTCTATCAGCAAAGGATCTGTTATAAAGACGGTAGAGATCGGACCATTCCTTTTGGTACCTCCGCCACAAAGGGTCAAAGTTTTGAATAACCAAAACGTTAATAATATCCGAAATAAGCATCCAACTCTCTTCAAATTTCACATATACCATTATTTATACTAACACAAGATCTGTTGTGAAGATGGAATATATCGGTACATTCCTTCTGGTACCTCCCCCACAAAAGGTCGAAATGTTGAATATTCATTGAGTTCATAAAACGCGAAGTTTATATCCGATTCCATTTAGTCTTGGCATATCTGAATATTTCTATCAGCAAAGGATATCTTATAAAGACGGTAGAGATCGGACCATACCTTTTGGTACCTCCCACACAAAGGGTCAAAATTTTGAATAACAAAATTCTCAAAAAAAAGCGAAATAAGCATCCAACTCTCTTCAAATTTTACTCATACAAACATTTTTGCTAACACAAGATCAGTTGTAAATACGAATATACAGGGTGAGATAAAAAAACTGCAACAAAGTCAAATGTCATAAGTTTTACATTTCTTTTTAAAATTTTATTGAATGAATGCAAAAAATGTCGGAAATAGCATCAAATTTTAGAATAAGTTTAGATTTGTTCGAGTTGGTCACCTTTGGAACGAATTATGGCCTTCAAACGGCCAATGAAATAGTCACACTCTGCCCGAATGTTGCTCTGCGGTATTTTGGACCATTCCCGGCGAAGGGATTGCTTGAGGTGATCGACACTTTGGTATTTATTAATGCCAAGCTTGCTTTCCAAAATACTCCAGTCATAATAGTCCAACGGATTGATATCCGGAGATTTGGGCCAGCCATGCGCTGGAAATGAAGCGAGGAACCTCATTTTGTAACCATTCTTGGGTGGTGTGTGCTGAGTCCCGTTGGAATGACCAAGGTCTGCGGCCAAAATATTTGCGTGCCCAAGGCTTTAATACACCCTCCAGAATATTTTCGCGATACTATTCTGCATTTATTCTATTGCCACGGTCGATTATTACGAGCGGAGAGCGACCATCGGCTTTTATGGCGGCCCACACCATCATCATGGCCGGCGCTTGAGTTCTGGTGGCCAATCGAAATCATCTGGTGGCCAACCGATCATTTTGTTTGTTTACAAACTGCTGGAGAGAAAACCAAACTCGATTCGGCAGTTCTCTACTTTCGGCCAAGCGAAGCAACTCTTTAGCTCTTTTGAATCTATTTTCTATCTGTTGTGGTGTAAGTTCTTGCACTCTTTGGAATTTTAATGACTTTACCCCAAGCTCATTTTTCAATATTTGCCGAATGGAATATTGAGATATGTTCAGCTCAGGAGCCATTTTTCGGCCACTGCGACGTGGGTTTCGATCAAGTCGCTTCTTTACTTTTCGAACCATTTCGCTATCAGTATCACTGTAACGAGCTATGGTACGAGACACAAAAGATTTATTCACATTTAAATGCTGGAGTGCTCTAACGATAGCCACTTGTGGTTTTCTAGCCAAATATAAAGAAATCACACTATGACGCTTGAATTCCATCACGAATAATTGTATTTCTGGAAAATTCTCATCAAAATGCTTCTGTACGCTTGTAAACAATATAATGAGATGTCACTGGAATAATTTTAATAATATAATATGAAGTTGGTTGCAGTTTTTTCATCTCACCCCGTAAATGTTCGATTTTCTTGTAATTTTGCCCATATCAATATTTTTATCTGTATTAGATGAAGCATGAGAATGGAATACTTCAGTCGGTATATATATAAAGTAAAGGAAGTAGTCGATATAGTCCAAACCTGGCACGTCATAATATTTATATCATATTTATTTAGGTCCCATACGAAGTGGACTATATTGGTACATTCCTCTGGAACTGACAGAAGTCAAAATATATTTAAGTAATCAACTTTGGCTGAGGGTATATATCTGTCGGCAAAACCGACTAATGCTTCTTAATTACTTGTTTTTTTTTTTCAAACCTAAATTATGAAATATATCATATATATTCAAACGACTCTCAATATACCAAGCGGTCAGCATAAATTATATCAAATGTTTAAACTAACTCGCCAAAATACATTATTTCAATGATAGCCTAGACGAATTTATGACACATATTTTTTCAAGTATCAATTACTAAAATTAAAAGTGTGATAGCGACAACAATGCCATGCTATGCGGGTGTTAGGCTAGGCTAGTGAATGAAATATTGTAAACGGTCGCAAAAACAATGAAAAGAAAAACAATTGCAATAATCAACGACCAAGAAAGAGAACAATAAAGAAAGCCAAAAGCTAAAAAACAAGAGAAAACAATCAACCATTTTATCAGTAAAATAAAATGAAAATAAATGAAGGAGGTATCACACATATATGTTCCTTTTTTTTAGTACAAGAAACGTGTAAAACAAATGTTACGAAACCAAAAGATAAGAGAATGACAAGCACTGAAGAGGAAGTTCAGGTTCTAAATGTTGTATCACTAGGCAAAATATGGTTAAATGTCATCTAGATTCAGATGTAGTACAAATTACTCCCCTCTCCTACAACCGGCCTAATTATTAAAATTTTGTCGGAGCAAAGTAAGAGTTGTTGACATTTGGTAAAATTTCCAAATATAACGCTATTGATGTAATTTCAAAATTGTTTTGGCATTAAATTTATATCAAATTCTAATAGCAGCCCATATTTTAGACATTTTTTCCTTTTCTACGAATTTTGATTTACGGGTTTATCTATCAGCTGCTACTATTCTTTTAAAACAAATTAAAAATTTTGTTAATATTTGTGACTAGTACTCTTTATCACAAACGAACTCAAATGCCATCACGTTCTGTGAATTGATGATAATGTTGTTGCTTTTTTTTGCTGAAAATTAAACCATGGCTGCGGCATAATCGTATAAACATTTTAGAGAGCAATCAACAACCTTCCGGTATAAATCATAACTTCATTTTCATTTTTCAAAAATATTAGAGAACTGACGGCCTGAATTATGCTATCAAGCAATTAAAACAAAAATAGTTTTGTAAAAAGAGAGTTTGGGGGGAAACAGCCAGTATTGAATGAAATCGAATAAAAATGACAATAAATTATTGTTATTAGGGGCTATCTCATTTGGATCACAATACATACAATACAATACAGAAAAAACAAGTAAGCAAAGGCTACAGTCGAGCGGGGCCGACCGTTGAATACCCTACAACACTATAATAAACCATACAGTTTATATAGGCGAGATACTCGAAAGAATTCCACAAGATATTGTGACAAATAATAAAAGAAAAAAACCATCACGTTTCGTTCTTTAATTTTCGAATAATAGCAACTTAAACTAATTTGCTCATTTCCAACCAATCCAACCAATATTTCCCAAAGACCTATAATCTCTCAGAAGTGGCAAAAGATTAACATTTATTATTGGTTTTTGACTGCGCCTTTCCTGTGTTTGTGAATTCTCCAAAAAGTCACTGGAATGGACATTTTCGTATTTTGTCTACAAAAGTTGGCAAACTCCTTCACACATTGAATATTTTTAATTACGACCTGCTGACAATTTTGCAGTTTTTTGGTCCATTTCAATCCCTAAATATATGTCAATCATTTCCAAAAAGAGTAGACTTCTATTCTGACTCTCATCTTATCCCCATGTAAAATTTCGTAAGGATTGGGCCATAAATGCGATCTGTATATGATATCCTGATATCCTAACTACTTAGTTTTGTTAGCTGTAGAAATATTACCAAATGTTTAATTCAAAATGAAAATGTGCCAAAAATATGACAAAATTGAAAAAATATAAGAAAATGTTACAAAATCAATATTTTCATCTTTAGAGAGATATTTGTATGCGTTTTTTAGACGTTTTTCCTTTCCTGCCAAGAGACCATTCTGAATTAATGAGAACGACATATATGATATCTTTCAAGCATATCTTCTTTGATATACATATATATGGCATATATTTGCTATATATTCGATTTTTTGGATCTTAACATCAATGTAAAGATCAGAAGTAACCTTGTCATGGCTTTGTGATTTCGCCGGGATTTAAAATATTCGCGGTTTAATGAAAAATTTTGAATTTTTTCAACAAAAAAGATATGGTCTATTTTACCCGCTAAATATTATCCGATGACCACCCAAATTGGTATGCTTCTTCCCCGCCCTAAACTCTAGCTACATGCGAAATTCCGCGTCGATTGGTCTGTAATTGCGACCTGTATAGCTACTGCAAAATCCGACATTTTTTCAGTATTTGGTCCATTTCAACCCCTAAACATTTGGCGATCATCTCCAAAAGAAATAGGGCTCTATTCTGACATTAACCGCACCTCCATTCTAAATTTCGTGAAGATCGGGCCATAATTGCGACCTGTAGAGTGATTACAAATTAACATGGACAGACGGACAGATGGACAGACGGACGGACGGACATACATAGCTAGATCGGCTCAGCTCGGCGAGATAGGAAGATCCATATATACTTTCCTATGTGGGAAATCAATATTTCGTGGTGTTACATAATTTTTGGCCCAATCAAACTTATAATACCCCCAACACATAGTGTTGTAGGGTATAATTATTGGCATTATAGGAACTAATGGGGATGATTGTGGTACCAGTGATTGGTACACTCAATTGTTTTAGAAGAAATAAAAGCCCTGGTGTCTCCAACATCTTTTAATTCAGCTGCGGCATTTCACATTGCGAATAGCACTTAGCTTTAAAATGGATACATCAACCAATTTCATCTTGAAAATAGTAAAGGAAAAATTTGCTAAAGAAAATCGTTATAAAAATATATCTAAATTTCAATAAAAGAAGAAAAACTAGGTCAAAATTCACTGCCAAAATTTAAAATAAATTCATTGAAAGAGGGCCTGCTAAGGACATTGGTCCGTTTTCCGCCATCGAGGAGCAAAGCTGATTGCTATTGGACTCATCCACAGGTTGCGTACAGTGGAAAGGCGACCCAATAGATATAATGGGTAGCTGAGAATTGACTAAGTAGTCGCGGACAGTCAGCGGGTATGGGCAGCGAATCTCGGCTTAAATGCCCGAGTGTCAAATGATCCTTAGACTGACGAAGCGATGTTTCGTGAACAACACACATTAAAAAAGAAAAATTAAATCCAAAATCCACTACAAAAATTTAAAACAAATTCAAAATTCATTGGAAGAAGTTCTGCTAAGGACGTTGGACAAAATGCCGCCTTCGAGGAGTAAAGTTGATAGTAATGGAAAGTCCAGGGGATATATTGGGTACCTGGGAGTTTAGAAAGTAGTCGCGGATGTGGGGGGAGTTTCGACTTAAATACCCGAGTACCAATGATCTTTAGACTGACGAAGCAATGTTTCGGTAACCCTAAAATAGCCAAACCTCTGTGACCAGCACATATAAAGAAGACCCCATAACGCTGAGGTATTACAGGGTGAGATAAAAAAAACTGCAACCAACTTCAGTCATTTCTAAGCCAATCGTCCGGCAGCTATTAAAATTATTCCAGTAACAGCTCATTATATTGTTTACAAGCGTACAAAAGCATTTTGGTGAGAATTTTCCAGAAATACAGTTATTCGTGATGGAATTCAAGCGTGATAGTGTGATTTCTTTATATTTGGCTGGAAAACCACAAGTGGCTATCGTTAGAGCACTCCAGCATTTAAATGTGAATAAATCTTTTGTGTCTTGTACGATCACTCGTTACCGTGATACCGCCAGCGTAGCCCGACGTCAAGGAAGTGGACAGAAGAAAACAGCAACATCAGCAGAAATGGTTCGAAAAGTAAAGAAGCGACTTGATCGAAAACCGCGTCGCAGTGGCCGAAAAAGGGCTCGCAATATTCCATTCGGCAAATATTAAATAATGAGCTCGGGGTAGAGCCATTGAAATTCCAAAAGGTGCAAGAACTTACACCGCAACAGAAACAAAATAGACTCAAAAGAGGTAAAGAGTTGCTTCGCTTGGCCGAAAGTGGTGAACTGACGAATTTGGTTTTCTCACTCTCCGATGAGAAAACATTCGTTGTCCAGCAGTTTGTAAACAAACAAAATGATCTTGTTTACTTTTCAAAGAGGTCAGCTGAAAATGTGCACCTTCGGTTGGCCACCAGAACTCAAGCGCCGGCCATGGTGATGGTGTGGGCCGCCATAACAGCCGATGGTCGCTCTCCGATCGTATTAATCGACCGTGGCATTAGAATAAATGCCGAATATTATCGCGAAAATATTCTGGAGGGTGTATAAAAGCCTTGGACACGCAAACATTTTGGCCGCAGACCTTGGACATTCCAAAAGGACTCAGCACGCGCCACCCAAGAATGGTTACAAAATGAGGTTCCTTTTAAAAATTATGGCGTTTGACTGTTTTGCAGGATTTCATCTCACCTTGTATTAGTAAAAGTTTTAGAATAAATAGAACAATAGCCGAACATTAGAGATGTCATATCACAATTAAATATGAACTTCGTTCATCGGCGGTTGGTTCAACATCCATTTAAAGTCTATCAAAATAGAAATATTTGTGCCAATATTGGCATAGCTACGTATGATCTCTGTACATTGTCCCACTTTTTACTGTTGACGTAAAATTTGCCTTAGATAGTAAAGAGTTAATGCCTTATGGATAATGACAATGACTTCAATACACACATGCCGAAAAAACAAACAAACAACCCAACAGCATTGACAAAAATTGCAGTCCATTATAATGCCAAATGTGGGGTGTATTCCTTAATAGTAGAATCAAGATATATGCAACTTCCAGCGTGTCACCGCAATGACTAAGAATTTATTACATTAAAGTCACCCAAACGAACAGATGGATGTCACCACAATCTGATCCACCCCCTCCCTCCACTACCTTCTCGTCTCTACACTCCATTGATGTATAATAAAAAAAACTTGAAGATAAGAGGTATCCAAAAACATTAAAAAAAAAACCTGCAACAACAATGATCAACGTCATCAAAAATTAAAAAAAAACACTTGAGAATATTAAAAGAAGTAGAGAAAGAAGCTAAATTATTTGTTTAAAAAGACGAAATGAAAACTTCAAAGTAAAAAATACCTATGAGAATGTAAAGAAGAGTAACCCAAGAATTACACAAAGAAAAATGCATAAAAACAAGAAAAGATGATGTGGAATATGATGCTGATGATGGATGGGGTGCTTGATTGTTATTATTGTTGTTGTTGTTGTAATGATGATGATGGGTCCAGCAGCTTGTTGACAGTGTGGAAATTGAATAATCGCCAAAGGTAAAAAACTAGTTTCGTTTGACATTTATGTAAACATAAGGAAATAAAGACGTAGTTAACTACAAAAGTATGGTTGTTTTGAATTATAATAGAACGAACTCAGTTTCCGACTCCTCCTTTGTTCATCAACAAAAAACTAACCTCTTTATCTTTCAAACCCAGCAATAGCACCTCCTCCATTAACGTTAAACGTGTCTCTTTGGAGTCACCATCATCGATGTTATCCTCGTGATCTTTGTTTTCTTGCAAGTCTTGATTATCGTCGGGGGTATTCGCGTTTCCGGAGGCACTGCCTGAATCAGCACCATTTTCTCTCGAGCGAACAGTACGTCTCACTAAACCATCGGAACGATTCATGTTTTTGTTTTTCTTTCTTTACTTTTATTCAATATTGCTTGAATTACTTATAACAGGTTAAAAATATGTCGTCTTTTTCGTTTTGTGTATTGGGGAATTTAGTTGGTTGGTTATTTTTTTTTTCCTCTCAACGACTGATGGTGTTGCAATTTTCTTTTCTTTTTTTGTTTTCCACCTACTTTCGTTAAAACACACAGTTTTCATGAACAACAAACACGTTGACAAATTTAACACACAAACATTTGACAATGAAATATATTGCAACTTTTTTTGATTGGAATTTTGTTGTCTTTTTCCCAAATATATATATTTTAATTTTATTGTTAATAATTTCTTTTTTTATTACTTTTTCCCCAATTGACACATTCCACGACAAGTTTGTGATGACAATTTCAGTTCGATTCGAATTGGAATTGTGGTTTCGATAGTTATCGTTAGTGGTTTAATCGAATGAATCGATTTACAATGGTTAAATACTCGGCTTGGCAACATGTCAAACTGGTATCTAGTCACTCGTAATGGCATGTTCACATCGAATTCTTGAAAAACTTTTAAAACAATCAAATCCTTGAACGTTTTGGAATAGAATATTTCTTAAAATTCTTAAACATGCAAGAATCTACTAGTTTTGCATTTTTTTCGATATCATAAAGGAAAACTTGGAGTTCTGGAATAAAGCATCTAGTTCTAATTAAAGGAGATAGGGGGGTGAAGAAATAAATATTCATTTCAAAAAATTAAACAAATATTTTCCATGCTCTTTTATTTTGTTTTTCAAGCAATTACGAAAAAGATTAGGCGGATATACATAAATTCTGACTTGGAATAACAAAGAGTTCAAGTGCGACATTTCTTTTAGTGTGCCACTTTAAATGCCATGAGACATCGTCACGTTGCTTATGTAACAAAAATACAAATTTTTACTACGATAACCGATTTTTCCTTTATGATATCGAAAAATGCAAAACCAGTAGATTTTGCAGGAACAGAGCCATGGTGTAATTAGCTCTGTTCCAGAACCTTAAAAAATCTACTAGTTTTGCATTTTTTCCGATATCATGAAGGGAAAATCGGTTATCGTAGCAAAAACTTTGACATTCTTGCACTTCGGGAACAGATCAATTATTACAGGTAGCAGCAAACCCCTCTATAGTAATACTAGTATCAAATTCGACATGACATTTTGTGATTTAATTCCATTTCTTGATATACAGTAGGTATACACTTTTTTATATAGTTTTGGACCTACATCTAACAACTATACAATTAAACAATGTACAGATATTAGTGTATTGACTCAGGAAATTTTGGGTGGAGAACTAATTCGTTAAGGGTCAAACAACGAATAGAGAGCGAATCAAGTGCAGTGGAAACACCACATAACTATTATATTACGTACAAAAACAAAAGTATATGTGGTTGTTATGTTCGTTGAACAACAACACTTGCTGTTATCTGTATTATTCTACCATACTTTATGATATCGAAAAAAAATATGCAAAAAAAATAATTGATTATTTGTTAATATATGTATAAATTAGTTTTACATAGCATTTTCTTTAAAAATACACATTATGGCTTTCTTTGCATTGAAATAAATTTAAAAAATCAAACCCGATTATGAAAAGTCGATGACGATCAAACCAACAAGTCGATTAATCCAAAGTCGACTTACATATCCCTAGTCGCGGTTACGTGTGTTGAGCACAATTAATATTTTTTCCGGTTCGAATTCTAAACATTGCTTATCACAAAAATGGCTGGACTTATTAGACAAGTTTTTAGAAGCAATTTCACACAACGCTTGCCTGCTGCCCTCGCACAATCGCATCGTTTCTTCTCGGCCGAGGGCAATGCGCCTCAAACCTTTACCAAAGAAGTGCTCCAGAAACTGGTGAACACAAATAAGGTTGTTGTTTTCATGAAAGGAAACCCGGAGGCACCTCGTTGTGGATTCAGCAATGCAGTGGTACAAATCTTGCGTATGCATGGTGTTCAATATGATGCCCACGATGTTTTGCAAAGCGACGAACTGAGAGAGAGTAAGATCCAATGTTTGTTTTTAGCTAATGGTTAAGTTTTCCGCTTTACAATTTTTGCAGTGGAGGTATTTAAATGACATTTAAGGCGAGGTCTCAACAGAGATGTGTTGTATTCGGGTGGAGCTCATAATATTGAAGCCGTGTAGTTGTGAAGTTATTTAAATATTGCTTTAGAAGTTAGGTCTTGGATGAGTTTCGTAGAACGTTTTAGGTGTTGTTGTACTTTATACTTATAATTCCTTTTGCGTAGATAAGATCTTTCGAGCTAATATAAATGATTGTAATTTAAATGAAAATGTTCTACATCTTTTTGCATGACCTTTGCAATGGTTTGGATGTAGTCCTTTTAGTTTTTGTCTCGTTAACATATTTAGCATTAATATATTGGAGTGAACAAAAAGTCACTGGCTGGAATGTTTTTAGACCTAAACTATAGGAAGAGAGTACCAGCAAGAAATTGATCTAAGTCGGGTAGGCCTACTTTTTGATGCCCGAAGCTGCTCTGGTTATGTGCACAAATGAAATAATGAATCTGAACCGATTTGTATACAATATTTCATAGGCATTTCCAGGGGTTATATGATGTAGCTACCAAATGTTATATCTGGGGCATATTAACACTTTCAGGCTGCTTAAAACTCAAAATATTTGCAGTATATATGAGGGCTACATCTATATCTGAATTGATCTTCACCAATTTTAGAATTTGGCTTCATGTGTTAAGGTTCAACTGATTTCAAATTCATTAAACATTAAATAGTTTTGGTACCAAATAGTTATCTCGTACCAAATATTAATATCGGAAACATACGGCTTTCAGGTTGATTAAAAGTCAAATCGGCTGCAACATATATATGGGAGCTATAGCAATATCTGAATCTTTTTTGAGTTAATTTTAGACTTATGTGGTTAAATTCATCTTATATTGTACATTCTATTCCATTTAACAGCTGTTTGAATTATCTTTTAAATTGCTTAATCTTTTTTTGCAGAAATTAAGGAATTCTCTGAATGGCCCACCATACCACAAGTTTTCATCAACGGCGAATTTGTGGGAGGTTGTGACATTCTCCTGCAAATGCATCAAAGTGGAGATCTAATCGAAGAGTTGAAAAAAGTGGGAATTGAATCACTTCTTTTACAAGAAGCTAATGAAACAGATAACAAGAAAGAAGGGAAATAAATTTATATATTTTAATTAGTCTATAATCAAATTTGTTCATTCTTTAGTTTTTTATTTTCTTTAAAATAAAATGTTGTTGGAATATTGATTTTTTTCTTTTTCTTTATCTTGTTAATTTTTGTAAGAGCATTTTATTTTTGAGAAATGTTATTATTAAAAGCTCTTTCAGACGATATGTTTTTTACATATGTAGTGTCAAAATGTCCATATGTAGTAGTTGCAAACATCGTACCATGGCAGAAGAATACAGGTAGATGCAACAACGCTGGGGAACATTGTTATTTCAAAAAATTTTAAATTCATTTTCAAATATAAGTAGATTTTCATATGTTTTCTTATACGACCTCACCCGGAGCTTATTATGATTTGCGTTTTTCAATAAATTTTACAAATTTAAATAATTTTTCATTCAACATTTTCAATTCCAAAATTGGTTTGACAGTTCATTGTCCCAGCAGCTGTGTCGATGCATCTACCTATATTCTTCTACCATGCATCGTACGATACATGAAATACATTTGTTATGAAATTCAAGAGTAATGTGGAGTTTACACTGCACTTGGTTCGTTCTCTATTCGTTTTTTGACCATAAAATAGGGTAAAACGACAAAATTCTCCAAACAAAATTTCCTAAGCGAACATTTATATCTATGCATTGTTCAAATCAAATCACTCACAACAATGATAAAATATGTCCCATCCCAAAAAATGAGAGCATTTATAGAAAAAAAAATATAACATTCGAGAATGCAAAATAGAAAAATTTAATCGATGGTACGCATCTTGTTCATAGTGTCGAATATACGCACAATTCTAGAAACAAAAAAAAAAAAAACATACATTTTGCGAATGACACACGGAAATACACATGTGGTCTGCCCAGAACCTGTAAGAATCTACTAGTTCCGCAATATTTTTTGATATCATGAAGGTAAAACAGACCAATTGTTAATAAAAGTGACAGCACATATGTAAAACCATAGTAGAATAAAGAGGTAAGGTAGAGCAGCCAGCTGATTACAATTTTTTCTAAGTGTGCCTGACTTCTGCAAATATGGTGTTTGTATTTATTTATTTATTTATTATTATTATTATTATTTATTTATTTATTTTTTTTTTTTTTGAAAAACAAATGGTCTGTTCCAAAACTGCAAGAATGTAATGTGGCGTTTCCACTGCACTTGATTCGCTCTCTATTCGTTGTTTCACCCTCAACTATGAAAAAACTAACTAATTCTTCACACAAAATTTTCTGAGCGAACACTCATATTTGTACATTGTTCAAATCAAATCACTCTCAGAACAACGAAAAAATGTGTCCCATCCCTAACAAATGAGAGCATTTCTCTAAAAAATAAATTATGACATTTAAAAATTAAAAAATTCAAATTTAATGAAATTTTACAAATTTTTGGGAAGACTGAAAATTATGAATGAAAACTACAATGTTGAATGGCGTATGTACATTCAAACGAAAGTACATTTTGTTTTCTCTCTCATTCGAGGTACGCATTTTATTTATTTTATTTATTTTATTTATTCAAGATTTCGTAACACAGAAGCCTTTTTAGGCCAAAAATAGCATTACAATGTAATATTACCAAATAGAAAAAATCTTAATTATACAAATACAAATATTTATTTTATGACACATTACTATAAAATACTTTATCTTACTCTATCTTTTTTGTTTAAATTAGAGTTTAAATTTGTTGGCTCCCCAGCCGCAAATACTTACCACGAGTTGAAATTTCCACAGAAAACTGCAAACAAAAGTGGCAATATTTTCAAAAACTTTGTATCGGCAGAAAAAATGTTTGACAAGTGTCTCTCCAGCAAAATTTAAAAATAGAAAAATACAAAAATATGTTCAAAATGTCAACATTTACACAAAAAGTTGAAAACGTGAATGAAAATTATAAAATTAATGATATAATAAATCTTTGGGAGAAAAACAATCATTTCTTCTATTCATATTAGTGAGAATTTCATGTATTTTCGTATAAATTCCCATTAAAATCAACAAACAAAATTTTTGAAAAAAGGAATTATTTCACTATGAATTACGAACCGTGCCGTATAAACGGGTTAATTCGTGTACATAATTCTGAGAGCGAACAACTTTGTTCGGTTTCCAATGGAAACATGCTATAAAAGTTTTTACTACGATAACCGATTTTCTCTTTATGATATCAAAAAAATTGCTAATAGCATGTTTCCATTGGAAACCGAACAACGTTGTTCGCTCTCAGAATTAGGTACACGAATTAACCCGTTCATACGGCACGATTCGTAATTCATAGTAAAATAATTCCTTTTTTCAAAATTTTGTTTGTTGATTTTAATGGGAATTTATACTAAAATACATTAAATTGTCACTAATATGGATAGAAGAAATGATTATTTTTCTCCCAAAGATTTATTATAATATTAATTTTATAATTTTCATTCACGTCTCCAACTTTTTGTGTAAATGTTGACATTTTGAACATATTTTTGTATTTTCTATTTTTAAATTCTGCTGGGGAGACACTTGTCAAACATTTTTTCTGCCGATACAAACATTTTGAAAATATTGCCTTTTTTGTTTCCTGTTTTCTGTGGTAATTTCAACTCGTGGACAAAATGCGTACCTCGGATGAGAGAGAAAACAAAATATACTTTCGTTTGAATGTACATACCCTATTCTACATTGTAGTTTTCATTCATAAATTTCAGTCTTCCCAAAATTTTTCAAAATTTCATTAAATTTTTCTATTTTGAATTTTTAAATGTCATAATTAATTTTTTCGATAAATGCTCTCATTTGTTAGGGATGGGACATATTTTTTCGTTGTTCTGAGAGTGATTTGATTTGAACAATGTACAAATATGAGTGTTCGCTCAGGAAATTTTGTGTGAAGAATTAAGTAGTTTTTTCATAGTTAAGGGTCAAACAACGAATAGAGAGCGAATCAAGTGCAGTGGAAACGCCACATAAACTAGTAGATTCTTGCAGCTACTGAAACAAAAAACTAATTTTTTTCAAAATCAATGATTGGAAGAAACGTCCATTGCAAGGCGCACATTAAAGGTAATAACCATGGTATAATGATATCAAGGTAGGGCTACGATACCATATGATTTTAATTTTTTTTATTTTCTTGGCTTAATATGTCATCTTTATTTGTTCATGTATGTGTTTTTTTTTTTTCAATAACAAAAAAATGTTCAGAAAATATTCAAATTCGGGTGTTTTCAAAATGTTTATTTCAACGTATGCATCGACAAAATTTAGAGTTTTTGTAGCGAAATAAACCTTTAGAGATATATAGTACATGATTTTGAAAAGAAGTGTTGATCTTTCATTTAGTTATCGCGGTTTTCAATTATTTATTCAAAATAAATGCAACAAGTTGTTTGATTTTTTTATTGTTTTGACACTAATTTTGACATTACAAGCCAAACAGGTAGACCTCTATACTTGCAATTTTTTCAAAGTTGACCTACCTTTTCTTCATTGTACCATGGTTCTATATATCTCTTATGGTTTATTTTGCGACAAAAACTGTAGATTTTGTCGACGCATTCGTTGCAATAAGCATTTTGAAAACACCCGAATTTGAATATTTTCTGAAAAATTGTTTATTATTGAAAAGAAGACACACACATAAGCAAATGAAATTGACATATTAAGCCAGAAAAATAAAAAAAATTTAAATCATATGGTAGTTCTGCCCTACCTTGAATTCATTGTACCATGATTGTACCATGGTTCTGCCCTACCATGAATTCATTGTACCATGGTTCAAATCAAATCACAGTCAGAACAATGATAAAATATGTCGCATTCCAAAAAAATGAGAGCATTTATCGAAAAAATTATGACATTCACAAATGGAAAATTTTCATAGAATTTAAAAATAAAAAATATGGAAAACACGAAAATTCATTCGAATGAAAATGTTGTTCTCCATCTAATCCATGGTACTTATCTTGTCCATAGGGTCGAATATGCGCACAATTCTAGAAAAAATTGATGTTCTAAGCGTCGATGCATGTTTATATGTTTTCTTATACGACGCCAATCGTAGGTTGTTATGATATTCATTTTTTCAGCAATTTATATAAATTTAAATAATTTTTCATTTAACATTTTCAATTTGAAAATTAGTTTGACAGTTCATTGTCCCAGCAGCTTTGTCGACGCGACTACCTGTATTCTTCTACCATGATACATACTTACTTTTTCGATCACAACGAGCCCTATTCTCATCGGTAAATTATATGGACTGTTCCAGTACTGAAATAATGTAAAGTTTTTACTACGATAACTGATTTAAACTTTATGATATCGAAGAAAATGTCAAAACTAGTAGATTTTTGCAGGTACTGGAACAGAGTAATAATTTAATCGCTATAATTTAATGCCCTGTTCCAGAAACTGTAAAAATCTAAAAATTTTGCTATTTTTTCCATATCATAAAGGAAAAATCGGTTATCCTAGTACACATTTGTACATTCTTTCAGTTCTGGAACAGACCAATTGTTGTTTGTTTGTTGTGTGAAAAACATATGCATGTGTGTGATAGCAAGAATTATGAGTCTTATGTAAAATTACAATTTGACGTACACACGGAAATACACATGGATAATAAAAGTGACAGCACATATGTAAAACCTATTCCGTCTGGTAATCCTTTAAGGAAACAGCAAGAATCTACTAGTTTTTCAATTTTGTTCGGTTCCAGTACCTGCAAGAACCTACTACATTTTTTCGATTTCATAAAGAGATCATCGGTTATCGAAGTAAATACTTTTATTTATTTATTTATTTATTTATTTATTCAAGATTTCGTAACACAGAAGCCTTTTTAGGCCAAAAATAGCATTACAATGTAATATTACCAAATAGAAAAAATCTTAATTATACAAATACAAATATTTATTTTATCACACATTACTATAAAATACTTTATCTTACTCTATCTTTTTTGTTTAAATTAGAGTTTAAATTTAAATTTAAATTTGTTGGCTCCCCAGCCGCAAATACTTAAAGATTAAATACAGAATTATAGAATAGGCGAATAAATCGAAGAAACATCAAGT